TGTATTTCGGTCATTTTGCTTGGCGTTTGGATGGATCATCATGGATTCAGTTCTATCTTAGAGGGGGAAAGTCTTTCACAAGGACAAGATTGTAACAGAAGATATTTAGATTGGAATATACAGTTACAAGGGAACATAAAGTGCCATCAAGTGCAAGACTGCCAAAGAACTGCCTTCGGATTTCTCGTGAACATGACCAGCAACCCCACCAGTCACCTCTGAGATTTGTAATTCCAGTATTGAAGTCCACTCAGCTTGAAAACTTTCAACGCCCAAGCAATGATCTCCCATGAATACAAGGCATCTTTGAAAATCATTCTCGGTAATCGGTACAAGTGTTGCCGAGTTTCAAGGTGACTCCATGTTTCCAAGGCCAAGGCATACTCGGAGATGCTGCGTCAGAGGGTTCCATGATCTATCTATCATGACTCCTTCGGCAAGGCGTTCCACTAGATCACGGGGACGCCTTGGGCTTCGGCTAGACATTGGAATCACACGGCATATTTTCTGATCGCATATGCGCAAATTCCAAATCGCAAAAGCGCAGAACCATTTCAACAACAGCTGGAAGCTTAAGTTGCAGTGCAGCCTGGCGTAAGTAGGTAGGCACCTGGGTTCCGGACCTCGAACTTACAACACCTGCACCCAAAGGGTGATGAGTCAGCTTCGCGGGGTGTTCATGTGGGGCTAGGTCTTTTTGGGGCAAGCGCACTAAGGCCACTATTGACGTCGCCGACGAGCTCCCATCGCGTTAGCTCTAGACGCGCAATAACCCACATCGACAAATGGCTTCACCAGATTATCCATCACCATAACGTCCTGATTTGCGCTTTACACACGATCGCTCTTGTATTTTTCTCCTTTGGGCGCGTCAAACTCAGACTGCGATGATGGGTGAAGGAACAGATCTCGATGGCGACACGAACATGGAGGCCATCTCTCCAATGACCCGGACTTTACCTCTAAAAGCGCCTTCGCTTGAGCGCATCGACAGTCTCGCATCTATGGAATCGCGCGTGGATCCTGATGCCCAGACAACTGTGACAGACTTTCTCGATTTCACCGATTATCTACCTTCCGACATCGTGCGATCCCTTACCCTTATCGGCCAACTCGACCAAACCTATGCGACTGCTTCCCACAAGGTTCACGATTTGACAGCAATATGGGGCCGATTACCAACACTTCCCCAAGAGGAGCGCCCGGCACCGGTTCAACTGAGGGCAGACATCTCTGAACAGCTGGAGCAAGCCATCAACTCTCGCACCTTCGCCCATGCTGAAGCTATCAGAATGTCCGAGAACATAAATCGGCACTACGCCAAGGCCAAAGTTTTACTCTCCAAACTACGGAAGATGAGAGACAACTATCCAACAGAAGAACCCAAGAGTCCTGTTCAATCGAAATCGCCACAATTAGCAAGGAGCAAGGCGCCGAACAAAGCTGCTGGTGATGGCCAGAAGCCTCGGCGTCCACAAGTTCCTAGAATTATTGTACCCGGCGAAATACAGGCGCCGTACGATCTTGACTATGACTCTTACACCGACGAAAGCGAAGTAAGCTCAGATGAAGACTCTGATACACCCGCGCCAAATCGAAGAACGCCTGCTCCTGGGGCGCGAATCAAGGTCGTTACTACTAAACCACCCAAGACACCAAATCGGCTTGCTCGTCCGGTCACATATGCTACGCCAGCTCTGAGCCAAGCGGCTGCCGCTAACAACGCCGCTCTGCTTCAGCCTCCGCCTGAAGATGCAGTTGTGGGCAGTCCTGATGCCCCATGGCTACAGCTCACTCAATATGAATTGGCCAAGTTGCGGAAACGTATGAAGAAGAATGCAACATGGACTCCCAGCGAGACCATGATCGCTCGCGAGCTCAAAGCTCTAGGACGTGGTCCTGATGCATATCATGAGGCCAGAAAAAAGGCTGAAGATGAAGGAGAATCCTTCGAACCCCCAGTCCCCAAGCCGGTTGTAGACTCCGAATCTGGGGAGAAACAACTTCCGGCCGGTGCCATGAGTGTCGAGGTACTCGAGGCTGAAGAGGTCCCGACCAGCAACAGGGGCATGAAACTAAACGAGGCCAAGAAATTAAAGAGGGATAGAGATCTTGCAAAGATGGCAGCAGAGGAAGCAGAGGAATCTGCAAGGAAGATGAACGAAGCTGCAAGGAAAATGAACGAAGCTGCAAAGTTGTTTCTCGGGAACGGAATCAATAACAACAGCAACAACAATGGAAACCAAGGAACTCCAAAGACGCCAACGTCTGAGACCCCCAAAGAGACTCCAAAGCCCGCAAAAACCCGAGCTGCATCGCGGTCGACCAAACGAAAAAGGGAGCCGGAGCCGGAGGAACCCAACAACAGCAACGAGAGTGCTGAAAAGACGGAAAGCCAGTCCCTACGGCCCCAGGCCAAGCGAGCCAAAACCGAGACGCCAGTCCCACCGCCTCCTCAGCTTACTTTGAATAAGGGCCCAAGTCCTGAGCAGGCATTATCCGCTCCTACAGCGCCCGGCGGTCTGCCAGCGGCGCAACACGCACAAACGCCCGTTCCCATACCTATCCCTGGCAGGACCACAAGAGGATCGGTAAAGTCTCCAACACCAAGTCCTGCTACAGCGTCTGCTACAGGACCTTCCAAACCCCCTCCTCAACAGACTCCAGTTCCCCTACCATTGACAGAAACCAGAAAGTCTGTGACTCCTGTGCTGCCTCCAGTGAGAGAGAATAGTAAAAGAGAGACCCGAGGTGAGGCAGCAAAGCGAACACAGCAGGCACAACAGCAAGCAGAATTACCGCCGCCTCAAGTGATCCCGACGATTCCGGAGATATCTGAAGACGAGCCTCTCAAAACTGAGCAGAACTCATCCCCGGCACCTCAGCTCCAACATGTACAAATTGCTCTTGCTCCCCCAACATCCCCCCCTCCCCCTCCTCCACCGTCGCTCTCTCAACTTGCTCCCGAAGCAGCAAGTAAGACAGTAAACAAACAAGTTCCTTCTCGAGCGCCTACTCCTAGATTGACTCCTGGCCCCGAAGGTCTTGCCATACGCCGGCCCAGCTCTCGAGGTAAAGCTGCGAGTCAAGAGCCGCAGCCTTCGTTAGCTGCGGATCGGCCACGACGAGCGAGCACCGCTCGCAACACACCTGCTCCTGAGCCTCGACCACCGAAGCGAACCAAGCGGCCTGCTCCTGGAATTGTTAGCACCACCAAAAGCGGCGGTAACAGCGCTGTGGGTAAACGAAAGGCGCCACCGAAGAAGAAGGCTCGCGCGAAGAAGGACAAGGGGTCTGTCGAGGTCGAGCTGGAGGATGTTGACGATGACGGGAACCCGATTGACCCAGACGAGCCGAAGTATTGTCTCTGTAACAGAGTCAGCTTTGGCACAATGATTGCTTGCGAAAATGCCGACTACGTAAGCGACTCTACCGCCTCAAATACCTACCTTTCTTCCTCAACGGCACGCAAGAAGCAAACAGACATAAAACTGACAAACCAGCAGTGTAAGCAGGAATGGTTTCACCTCGAATGTGTCGGCCTCGAAGAGGTACCTGCCCGAACGACTAAGTGGTACTGTCCTGAGTGCCGAATTAAGCTCAACATTGGTGAGAAGGGCGAGGTCAGCGCCCGTGGTGTCAAGAAGTAGGCAGTCGTGATGGCAACGGGGGGTCCTGGGGTCCATAAGAACCAGTGTGGATGGCGTACGATGGAGGACGGATTTCAATGTTTTTGGGCTCCTTTTGAGCTCTCGGAGATAATACCCTGGTGTTTATGTAGAATCATGCTTGAATGTAGCCGTCGATAACAGACATAGGCAAAGGACGGTTTTCTCGTCAATGCTCTGTACGCAGGCTCCATAGGACTTAATATCACTCTGTTTCTTTAACAAAGCGTAATTGGTTTAGTGGTAAAATTCTCCGTTGCCATTCGAGCAGCGTCGGGGAGCCCTGGGTTCGATTCCCAGATTACGCATTGAAACGTTTTCTTTTGCTCTCGTGAGCTCTCGAATCTCTTTTGGTCGATATCGCGATGTTGGATCTTGGTGTTTTGGTTGAAGGTTGTAGCAGCACAGATGGCAATTTGGGTTCAGAGTGCCTGCTTTAAAACCATATCTTCAAGTTGAAAAGTATCTTACTTAACAGGAAGCAGCTCTTTCCTTAATCTACAGACTTGTGCAGTATTCCTTGATTGGGAAGGTTCAAAGGAAGAAAGAAGGAACGCAATGACGTGTTCTAACAAGCTGCTCCATTCTCCGTTGGGGCTGCAATTACGTGTGGTTTGTGAATATCAGTCATGCCAAAGGACCACCATTTGAGTCAATTGCGCCCAAGGTTTAACAGTAATGATGGTAATGTATAGTCAATTCAGTGCCAATTCGATCTGAACCTTCACCGTCTGGTGTTGCGACAAGCAACTACCTAACTGATCTGTTCTCTTTCTCGGACCGGTGTAGGGTAGCTATGACTAGGTATGGACCCTAACCTTATATCCATAGGTGGTAAGAGACAGGCCGGTCTATTGAAGTGATAATGGGACAGAGGTATGTCCATGGATAACTGTGAGTAAATTATTATCACTCGCATAATGACTGCCATAAAGATCAGCCTAAACCCATGCCTAAGTTGTATAAAGTTATCATACGAGAAAGAGATATTAGTCCATGGTTTCATCTAAACCCCAAGGGCTAGCAAATATGAGGAACAAGTAGATAAACACTATTTACATTAACTACCCAATTTTGGGATTACAACGTGGCATTAACCAAACCCATCATTGAGATAAATCTCTGCTTGATAAGATACAATCTTTAAGAGGCTATTTTTGATCGTGCGTTGGTGCTGTCATATATCCGCATTTGCTGGCGTAACATACATGATATCTCAACCTCACTCTTTTTTACATAGGGTGTACCTACCTTAGGTGGTCGAAAAATCTCCGAAGAAGGACAGAAAGAACAACCTCGTTTCCTTCCAGAAAGAATTGGAGAGAAGCTTGTACGGCAAGTTTCCGAAACAAAGTTTGATACTAAGTCATGACGATCCACTCAGATGGAGAACAATTGCATCATGCTCTCCATATATCTCCCTAAGTTAAGAAATCATGAAAGAGCAGCTTTCTCATCCTTGATCCTCGCTCAAAGAATTTTCTTCAATTGTTCCTTGCCGAACTTCAGAAACAGCGATCACAAGCATACTCACCATGGCTCAGAACGTCCCCGAGAACTACGTGCCACTCTATGCTACCCATGACGAATGGCAGGACAAAGAACTTCAACAATTTGCGATTGACTTCTATCGCATCTCGGACAACCCTGAAGAGAATCAGCGTTGGGTAGACTCTTTCACGGAAGACGCAAGCGTGCAGATTGGCGCTGACAAGGCGCGCGGCTCAAAAGGTATTTCGATGCTTTCATCACCACCTTCATTCTGTTGGGGACATTGAGCTGATAAGGACCATAGATCTGGTCGAATTCCGAAGTCGGATGTGGAAGCACATCAAAGAGCGCAAACACACGGTTCTCAAAGTCTTCCCCGGGCGATTCTCCGACTCAAATGAGTGCATGATTCTGGGAGAAGTCAGCGTTACCACGACAGATGGACGGCTCAAAGAGGCTGCTTGGTCGGCACATGCAGTCGTCAGGAAGGTTGATGGGCAGTGGAAGTTTAGCCAATACCGCGTCTGGCTGCAGACTGATGGACATCTGCTGTGAAAATAATGTCCTACAAAGATGACGGAACCAACCAAAAAAAAAAAAAAAAGCAAGCAAAAATGAATTTATGCATAGCCTTTAGTTATTCAATGTCAAGCAGGTCGCTCAGAGAGCAACTGTAAACAGCTTCACCCAACCGGATACGTCATCAAAGGCTCGTGGGAGATGTTGACTTTTGCGGAGTAGAATCGACAAATGCCGAAGAATACCGTTGTCGAATGGTAAAGCTGGGATCAACACACGCTGATTGATGGGAGCTCTGTCAGGGAGAGCCAAGGATAGAAATACTAACGACACACCCAAGAGGCCATTCAGGTGCCAATCTAATCCTCACTGTAGCAGCGCAGCGTTTCCTGAGCTAAGCCAAGGTTCACGGTCCCTTGCTTTGAGTGCTAAATCTGGGATATCAGCGTGTCGCCCCCTGGTGATTAGAGAGGTACGGCCATGCTGATGGCGTAAATGGCATAGCTCACCTGACCCATGATCACGGCGTAGAATCATGTGGCTTAGCTGGGTCGGATGGATGGGGCACGATTTATTGAACCATCCATGAGAGGAATGGATGAATGATGACAGGTATCGAGACAATAAGGACTGCATAAGATCGAAGATTCAGTCGTCATCGTTGCGACCTTTTCAAGATAGCCGAGTATACTGTCCAGTATCATGGAAGCCTGTTAAACCTGTTATGATGGTGGATGACAAGGCAAGGTATCGAATCGAAAACCGATTCAAGGTGTAACTGAGGCGCTGTAACCTCCGGATTTGTACCCTCCCATTCACTCTCTGGCCAGCGCATGAACTCAACCCCGCGCAGACCGGATGGACCTTGTTCCATTAAAGATTTGTTCTCGTCATTTATCCAGAAACGATTGAGGTCAACAGAATCGCGAACTATGTATGCGCTTGCGCGCTATAACCGCGTGTACTGGATGTGTCAATCATGCCTCCCTATCTAGTTGCCCGGTACGAAAAAGAAACCTTTGATCTTCCGGTTGAGCTAGAAATGCGGGCTGTTTGGTTTGGTTCCTGACAGGCCGAGGCGTGGGTAGTGGCAGATCCGCCAATGCCATTGATGTGCCCGTCAAGACGATGTTCGGGTGAAAGTGGAGGTGGAAGTGGAGGGTCGAAGGGGGCGTCTTATCAACCCTTCTCTAGAAGGGCCACTATCTTATCGCTTACAGTGCATGTGGTGGTGATGTCCACTACCAGCCTCCACTGCCTTACTGCCTACTGCCCTCCCTAGGCCATCCGACCCCTCTATTACACCCCACGCCACATTGGAACAGAGGTGTGAATCTAGGCCTCACACATGGATGGGTTGGATGGGATGGGATCTATCAGAGAGTGACTCTTCGGCCAGCTCCCATCAGTCCTTTGAGCTTCCTTCCTTCACTTACAACTGTGAATGACTATACGATACAAACTTCAACAAAGCGTCTGAATATTTCCTTGGTTTCCAACTCTATAACGATCTTTCCCTTTCTCATCTGCATCTGCATCTGTCCTATATTGCATCGACTTAACTCAACTTGATAGACGCGACGAGCTGGTCTACGCCGCTAACCCAACAATCTCGAGCACTTCGCCGTTCTTTCACGATAATAACTCAACTCAACTTAACTCGCTCTGACCGATATTGATCTGCATTTTCTCTCCTTCGCCTCCCATATCCGATAGTAGCTACTGCGAATCGACCCCCGATCTGTGCGAGCGAAGCGAAATACATAGGAACACAGACTTCGAATCTAGACAAGTGCCGGCGTCACCTCGACTGCAAGAGAATCGACTTGACGCCTCTTTTATAACAAACGCGCTCTGCAGAAACGCGAGCGTAGCGTTTTAGTTTTAGGGGTAGGAAACTGCTCCGACACTTGTCCAAATCTGCATATGCCTTGTAAGTGCCTCTCTACTGGAACTCTATTCCCACCTTAATACCCCTCCATCTATGTATGACCTATCAGCCACTGGCACTGGGATCCCCAAACCCGAACTGCTTGCGCAACCGCGCTCCTCTTTAACAAACAGGAGAGCTGACCATGACCCTCTCGACAGCTTCTAAGAAGGAGAGGAAACATGCCAGAGAAAATGGCGGCATCGCCGCGGCCGTGACAAAGCAAACAGCTGGTAAATTCGCGTGAGCCTCCCTGTCCGCATGACTCCTCTGGGCTATCATGGACCACTTTAAGTACCTAGCTGACCGCAGTCACATAGCACTGTCACTGTCAATAACGGTAACGCCAACACCAACAAGGATAACGTGAATACAAATATCAGCAGTAGCGGAGATAATAAGAGCTCATCTACTTCGGTCGCTTCCACGCCCCCCGTCGACACGCCCGAGATTAAGCCTTCTTCTGGCCCTGACAATGTCAACCCTGCTGTCTCCCCTATGCTGGCTGCTTTGTCCACAACTCCAGCTTCCGCGAGCACAGCACCGAGTATGAACAATGAATGGATGAGGAACGGCATGGCCGGCTCTCCAGGAAACTTGATCAGTATCATGGGCGATTCACCTCCTACCCAACCGTCTTCTTATGAGGACTCAGGTCGACTGCAACAAGGATGGCCCGTACAGCGCCATTTCATGAGTCCCTCGCCTTCATCTCTATCCCCACCAAACCACAGCCGACGTCCTTTGAGTTTCCAGATGGACGCCCAATATCAATCTCCAGAAACACCACCTCCGAGTGTCCCCTACCGACGCAGTTCGGTCAACTCCCCATTCCAAGGCTCGAGGATGGGAAACTATCCGCCTCTGCCTCATCAACCCCAGCCACACTTCTATGGTGTACCAGATATCGACCTCAACATGACTAACAACTCGGGCATGAAAGCCGGCGAACGAGGCTATTTCTTTGGCTTCGACAAGCTACCCGAATGCCCCGATTTCCCATCTGGTCCAAGCAACGTCGTCATCGCGGGGTATGAAGGTGGTTTGGATGTGTACGCTGTGGGTAAGAGAGGTCTTGAGCCTGTTGCGAGTCTAAAGGGACTACGAGGAGGCGTTCACCATGCCAAGATCCTTCCTTGGACGCTTGGCAACAGTAATAAAGCTCTGTTCCCTCTTGTGGCGGTGGTATTGCATGGACCAGTTCTACCCTCAGCTGTACCTGGCTCTGTACAGGGCGAGGGACCAAGCCCCAGGCTTGATGGGGCAGCAAGCCCTCGATCCGTCTTCACCCACCAGGATGGCTTCCAAGGGCGACAGACCATCGACTCATATCAAACGTCCGTAGAGGTGTACTCACTCAGGACCAACCAACTCGTTGATGTGTTACTGCAAGCGCCAAAGATCCCGATCAACCCTGAAATCTCCGTCACGAACCCAATCTTCAGACCTCCTTCACCCAGCGGCTCTTTCACGATTCGAGCGGACTCGGGTACACTTGCAGTTTGCTCAGGCGTTACTGGCGAATGCTGGATCTACTTGCAATTATTGGAAGATCAAAATGGCCATGTTTTTACATGTGTCGGAAAGATCTGGACCAGACTCCAGCAAAGCATCCGAGGTGAGGTGCCAGAGGAGGCTGATAAGACACAGTCTTCGACCGCACCACCACGCTCAAATCCGCAAACACCGATTCTCGCGGTCAGTGGACGATGGATAGCTTACTGTCCTGCGACGCCTTCGTCACAAGTCTCGTTGAGAGCTCACGTGCCACTTCCTATTCTTGGCAAAGCACCTGGACTCGCCACTGTGACGCCGCCGCAGTTTCCTTCGTCTTCTGCATCTGTAGATCTTCCTATTTCCGATAGTGTCGTTAATAAGATCATGCGAGAGACGACCCAGGAACTTATTCAAGGCGCTAAGTGGGTTGGACAGCAAGGCCTGCAAGCTTGGAATTCATACTGGAACAAGTCGTCAAACCCCCAAACGCAAACTCAACAAGCGCGCTCACCTCCTCAGAACTGGGCTGGTACTCGATCTCCTCGTGGCGACCCAATCAACTTCCCTCCAACTCATGGTCCTGCTGGCCCGGTTGGAGCGAAAGACCCAGGGCTTGTGTCGATTGTTGATGCAGAGTCGCTCACTAATTCATCTACAATTCATCCGATTACTACGTTCTCGCCGCCTTTGGGCTGCAGTTTTCTTTCATTTTCGCCATCATCTTTATCCCTGTTCACTGCCAGCAACAAAGGCGATGTGCAAACAGTCTGGGATCTGTTCCGTATTCAACATACACGATCATCCCCTCTCCAGACCACTGTCACGCCAAATGCAAGCACAGGACCTCAGGTCCGTCAAATTGCACAGTTTTCACGAATGACTGTCGCACGCATTGTCGATGTCGCTTGGACGCAATCGCAGGGGGAGCGGTTAGCTATGGTGACCGAGCGCGGCACTGTTCATCTACTTGATATGCCCTCAAGTGCGTTTATGTGGCCTGCACCTCGCCGTCGCCAAGCTGTCCAGGAAAGTGGCACCGCAACACCAGAGCAGCCGAACACGGCTGTTTCTTTAGCTACTGGAGCTTTTGGTGCAGCCTATCAAGCTGCGAAACCCTTTGTCTCACGACCTCGTCGCAGCAGTGGTAACGTACAAAACGTGACTGGCAACAGCCTAAAAGACTCAGCGGCTATGGGCGGGCGAGTGATCGCTGCTAGTATCAGCAGTTCACTTGGCAAGACAGGAACCGCCATTAACCAGCTTCGGCATACTGGCGAAAACCGAGTGTCCTTGCCGCTTAGCTCAGGCCTTCCTTCGGCATCCTGCGTGACCTGGGTCAAAAGCAGAAAACATCAAGGACTCTTTGTGGTTGGCAACGGTCTGGTACGAGGTTTCTCCTGTCGAACTCGTCGATCTAGCGTACAGGCTGGCAGGCGAGTGACACGGGCTAGCAGGTATCACGATTACAATGTGCCGATTCTACCCAGCGACTTGGTTGCTCCAGCTGTACGACAGATGGTTGACCTGGGAGCTCAGGATGAAATCCTCGACCTTTCGGACCGTGATATGGATGCAGGAAACACGCTGACGCTGAACCCCCGACCTCGTGTTGCGGCAACAGATCAGACTATGGAATCGTCAATCCCTCAAGCTGAGATAGAGTCTAGTGCACCCTATCAACCTTTCCACACGGATCGACGAGTAACTCTCTGCGAGTACCGGAGAGGAACAGCTGATCAGCTCGAAGTTGTCTCAGCTATACTAGCCGAGACAAGTCTAGACGAAAACACTACTTCCAAGAAAAAGAAGAAGAAGGGGCAACCCATGGAACCAAATTCATCTAAAGAATTCTCAAACACAACGGCTTGGGCTTTTGGTCAGGATATTCCAGTGGTTCGACTGGATTTAGGCTTGCCAACAGTTGCTGAGGAGGAGTACGACGGCCCCGAAGACCATATTGCATTGCCCCCTTCAGCGATGGAGCGCGTGATGCAGTATGGCGACCAGGAGCAGATCGTGGTGACTACAAGGAGACGACGTGGAGCGCAAGGTGGAAGTCAAGGTGAGGATGGCTTTTTTGAGGATGACTGTGAAGTCCTTGACTTTGCAGATCAGAGAGTGTGAGAAGAACTCTCAGACAGACAACGTGCGCTTGAGGTTGGCGTCTAGGTCCTTGGCTTTGCTTTGATTATATGCATACGAGGCTGGAATGGCAAGTCATTGCTTAAGCTGTTTGGCGATATGGAGCAAAGTTTGTATCTTTTCGTGTTGTGAAGCATGATTAGTTACGCTCAAACCAACTCTTGGTCCGGTATGTTGGAGTTTGATTCTGATATGTGGGCATTTTGCTTGTACGGAAGAAACACTCTTTAGCACGGTCGTTTAGCAGGTCATAATACCTTATTATAAATAGAAAAAGATTAGATACCCATTTCCTGTAGTGTTCATCTCTTCTGCATCAAGACATTGGCCTGAGACTCCAAAGTCCCATAGTGTGATTAGGTCTTGGGCGAAACAACGCCATTAAAAGACACTGAATGATTACAAGTATATAATCGACATGTCGTCGTCTAGTTGGCCTTCCTAGTTGGCCTTCTTAGCGGCAGCCTTGGCCTTTGCAGCCTTCTTCTGGTTGCTCCGAATCATAACCATGCCGAGGAATGAGCCAACAACAGCGGAACCGAGGAGGATGATAATAACGGGGATGCGAATGGCCCAAACGCGAGGGGGGAAGAAGTTCTGGAGAGGGTGATCGTCGTCGACAAAGGGCTAACCAATTGTTAGTTGACAATGTGTTCAATACCTAAGCTGGTGTACATAGGTAGGGGTGTATAGTCGCATCGAGCTGAGAAATGAGGGGCATCTTACCATGAGAAGAGTCCAGATGGTGTAGTAGGTGAAGACGACGGAAGCGGCCACGAGCATGGCGAGACCGACGATTTTGTCCAACTGTAACAAGAATTATTATGTTAGTAAAGTTGAAGCACCACGAGGGGCTGCCACGATGCCCCGGTCTGAAGCGCGTAAAGGGGACAGCGTGTAAATCAGGCCATGATAGGTGTAGCTGCTTACCATTGTCAAAGATGCGCAAAGCGAGCGAGCGTAGTCTTTGTTGAGCAGAGATGAAGATTGAGACCGAGAAGTAGAAATAAAGGAGTGTCGTGGCAGTATCTTTTGGTGGTGAAATGGTTGCCGTCAAAAAGTCCAGTTGGCTTTAGGGACAAGCTTCAGGGGACGTGACGACTAAAGGTGGGGCGCCACAATTGCACAGCCACATGATCTCGGAGCTCCAAATGTGGCTGCATATCTTTTTTCAAACTCGACATTACTTCGCGCGCGACGAAGCTAGCAACGACATCTTTCTCGATTCGCAAGGACTTTCACTCTCTCGCCCCCACGCCATCGAAATTCAGGACGCAGTAATCGACACGGTAGAATAAATCGATCGCGACTGCAACTGCGAGTGTAATTTTCTGACGATGGCTTCCGCCGAGGTCGATCTCCCGCGTCGGGACCGCGATCGCAGCGACAAGCGTGATGGCGATTCATATCGTCCTGCGAGAGACCAGCGATCAGCCTCTCCCAAGCAAAAACGAGAAGCTGCGCCTGTGCGAACCGAAGAGGAGAAACAAGCGGCTGCAAAGGCAGAGTACGAGAAGCTTCTCACAATGCGATCCGGCGGTACATATATTCCACCCGCTCGACTGCGCGCGCTCCAGGCCCAGATCACGGATAAGACGAGCAAGGAGTATCAGCGCATGGCATGGGAGGCGCTCAAGAAGAGTATCAATGGTCTGATCAACAAGGTCAACACTGCGAACATCAAGTTCATCGTTCCCGAGCTTTTTGGAGAGAATTTGATCCGAGGTCGCGGTTTGTTTTGTCGATCGATCATGAAGGCCCAGGCTGCCAGTTTACCGTTCACACCGATTTATGCCGCCATGGCTGCTATCGTCAACACCAAGCTACCCCAGGTCGGCGAGCTCCTGATTCGTCGTTTGGTTATGCAGTTCCGAAAGGGATTCAAGCGAAACGACAAGGCTGTCTGCCTTTCCTCGACTACCTTCCTGGCGCATCTCATCAACCAGCAGGTTCAACATGAAATGCTCGCCGGTCAGATTCTTCTTCTCCTGCTTCATAAGCCGACCGACGACAGTGTTGAGATTGCGGTTGGTTTCTGCCGAGAGGTTGGACAATATCTGGAGGAGATGCAGCCGTCTATTGCCATGGCTGTTTTTGACCAATTCCGAAACATTCTGCACGAAGCCGATATCGACAAGCGAACACAGTACATGATCGAAGTGTTGTTCCAGGTGCGCAAGGACAAATTCAAGGACAACCCAGCTGTCAAGGAGGAATTGGATTTGGTTGAAGAGGAGGATCAGATCACACATCGTATCGAGCTGGAGGGTGAAATCGATGTGCAAGATGGACTCAACATTTTCAAATTCGACCCGGAGTGGGAGGAGCACGAAGAGGCGTACAAGAAGCTGAAGGCTGAGATCCTAGGCGAAGGTAGCGACGACGAGGATGACGAGGATGAATACGAGAGTTCGTCCGAAGACGAGGAGGACGAGAAGACGAAAGCCATGGAGATCAAGGACCAGTCTAATGCCGATCTGGTCAACTTACGAAGAACTATCTATCTCACTATCATGTCTAGTGCCGATCCTGAGGAAGCTGTCCACAAGCTCATGAAGATCAACCTCCCTGCCGGTCAGGAACCAGAACTTCCCTCCATGATCGTGGAGTGCTGTTCACAAGAAAAGACGTACACCAAGTTCTTTGGCATGATTGGTGAGCGCTTCGCCAAGATCAACCGACTGTGGTGCGACCTGTTTGAGCAGGCTTTTGCCAAGTACTACGACACTATCCATCGATACGAGAACAACAAATTGCGCAATATTGCGATGCTATTTGGTCATATGTTTGCTTCAGACGCCCTGGGCTGGCACTGTCTATCTGTCATTCACTTGAACGAGGACGAGACCACATCCAGTAGCCGTATCTTTATCAAGATCCTGTTTCAGTTCATCGCAGAGGAAACGGGTATGCCCAAGTTGAGGGCACGTATGACAGACGAAACCCTGCGCCCCAACCTGGAAGGCCTCTTCCCCAAGGACAACCCCCGCAATATCAGATTCTCCATCAACTACTTTACAAGTATTGGTATGGGTGCTCTCACAGAAGAGATGCGAACCTACCTACAGAACATGCCCAAACCTGCTTTACCTGCACCCCCTGCGGCTGATTCAGACTCTGATTCAGTTTCAAGCTATTCGTCGTACACAGGCCCTTCTTACTCGCGATCTCGATCTAGATCGCGAACACCACGTAAGGTCGCTGACCGAGGAAGATCTCTTTCTCGGTCTCCTGATCGAAGAAGCCGGGGACGTTCATACAGTTCGTCGCGATCAAGGTCATTCTCAGGATCTGTATCTGCACGAGGAAGGGGACGCAGCGAGTCTCGCTCTGCCAGCCCTCCCCGACGAGGACGTCGTTACGATAGTGAGAGCCGCTCACGATCCCCTGCCCCACGAAACGGCAAGGGTCGGGTTCGCAGTACTTCATACTCATCTCGAAGTCGTTCCCGCACGCCTCCACGTCAAGCACGTGGACGCAAGGATTCCTTCGCTTCGGAAGGACGATCGCCGCTACCTCCAGCTCGAGATGGGCGAAGCCGCTCATATGATTCCCAGAGCCGATCTCCTTCTCCTGTGAGAAAACGGGAGAGGTCATACTCGGGCAGCCCACCTCGACGAGGCCGACCGCGCGGAAATGCCGGTCCAGCCTCACATCGGCGTAACAGCTCTTCTGTCAGTGATGGACCGCGAGATACTGGCAAGCAATTCAGTCGCTCACCTTCATACGATTCGCGATCCCCACCTCCAAGAAGGGCCAGACCAGACAGCGTATCGCCCCCACCTGCGCGCAATGGTCGCCAAGCCTCATACTCGCGGTCACCTAGCCCCCCGCGCCGTGGAGCAAAGAAGTCTTTGAGCCCTGTGCCGCCAAAGAGGAGACGTTATAGCGATAGTGTTTCTCGGTCACCGCCACCGATGAAGCGAGGACGAAGGGGAAGTTGAAGGGATGGAGAAAGACGATGTGGAGAATAAGGAGCTGGAAATAATGAAGATAAGGGTTACTTATAATTAGAAGACCAGGTTAAGGGGTTGCATCATCAGCGGGACTACCAAAATTGTAAGCTTTTGAGGCCCAGCATCATTGTTCTTGGGATTTCTTCAACGGTGAATTTCATGTTCTTTGTTGGATGCATCATGACAAAGTGAATAGTCTCGTGCTTTATAAAGGGGAGGCCCCTGGTTGAAGAAATAGTGACTTTTCTATGAATATAAATACTGTTGACCTCTAGAAACGTATCTCAGATCTTCAGCTATCCCGCTTCTCCTAACCTCTCCATCCGGTAAAATCGTCACCTTCATCAGTATGGAAACTCCCTCAGGATCCCAGGAACCGCCCAAGGCTAGCAACAACGTAACTAGGTTCGGCATCGGTATCATCATGATGGGCTCAAAGACGAGAAACACTAAAGCTCGTATCGGAACTATGGCTCTTGGAAGCGTCGCGATTGGCGTTGGTATGTCTATCAAGCATGTTTTTGGGCAACAGAAGGCAACAGAAGGCAACAGAACGGCTAACTTGTATTTAGGAAGCGCTGGTTTGGAAAAGCTGGAAATTGACGTGACTATGCTCGCGACTAGACTCTCAACAGTCTTGAATATGGAGTATTCGAGCGTCGAGAATATGAATCCATTTGAGAGTTAAGTTGGGGAATGGGGTATGGGGATATGATAGATGCATGCTGACCATGCTCAACTAAAAGGAGTTTTGTCTTTTTCGTGCCTTGGGTATATTGAAGAAGTAGACATATTTCTGGTAAAATACATTTGCATATCTGAACATCTAGGCCGAAGATATGAGGAGAATAGAAGGTATTATCCTCAAGTTACCCAAACATCAGAGAGATACACAAGTCAAGACTTCTTGAATCCTTACGATTCGTAAGGTACCCTGATCTGACCGTAATGTTCTTCAAGCCTGCCAGTGTTGTTAGATCTGATGATGCTCCGACGTCGACGTTTTATTACCTAGAATCTGCAACAAGCCGATAGCTCATGTTTTATGACTTTATTTGGTGAGGACCTTACACGTTGGTGGCAGCCACCTAACAAAGGAAATTCTATAGCGAACAAAACTAAAAGTCGTTCTTTGTTTGTACTGCAATGAGTGATGTGAGGTAATGACATAAGCCATTGATTCTGCGTGCCATTATTTATTCTCCTTGTAGGAACATTAACTGCTTAGTATCGACAACACACTCTCAAACCTACATCATGGTGCTCACCATCATCTGCGTTACCGCTCTCATCATAAGTTTCCTTCTGATTGGAAATCACCAATTCAGATGTCGCGAGAAGCCTGGGGCTATATTTTTGCTACCGTACTCTTTACTGTTATGGGAGGTAGATCGCCTATTATAGATCCATCTGAAATCTTGTACTGACTATAGCTAGGCGCATCATTCTTTGGTCAGATTATCCAGACGGCCCTCCCAGAGCTTCAGCAAACAAATAACGCCCCTGAGGACTACTTGGAGCATCAACCGGAGGTCTTTTATCACGGCCGAGGCAAGTTCAGTGCCCATGATCGCTTGCACCGCAAATACGGCATCTGTTGTGACCAAGAATGGCACTGTATATCTTGTGTTAATCTTCAGGCTGAGGAAGTTCGAGTTCTTGTGAAGATGCGTTACAATGAGCTTGACAGGAGAATGAAAGAAGCTCTTACGAAGTGTGAGGAGCGGGGAGTCGACTCTTAGGAGACATGGGAGAAAAGACAGTTAGAGCATACTACAGAGATCACAAGGTCTACTCAGCTTAAATATCATCAAAAGGAATACGGACTGGTAGACTGTACGGAAATAAAAGTTGATTAAAACTGAACGAAATCATTGGCCGTGTGCTTACACAGAGCAATAACTCTGGTCGCTAACGAGTTCGGCTCCACATTGTCCCTTACAAGTTTTCAATTAATCACCATCGAACTGAAACCCTCCGTAGATGTTGTATCCGAATGTAATGTACATGGCTGGTCTTAGGCTCACAGAGACAGCATTCTCTGCTACTGACCCAGATTACCATGTGAAGGTGACAGTCGTTGATTTGATGCCTCCTTTTGGGCTGTAAAACCACAAGCTTCTCAGGGTTTCTTAATCTTCCAGAAACCGGGGAAGAGGATTGGTGGCTTGCGCCAAAGAGAAGAAGAAAAAGAATGTTGAAGAAGATGTGGCTCAAGCCAAGAAGCTGGTTGATGATTTCAGGCGTTGGCCAGAAGAAGTAGATGGCTTCCTCTAAAGAAAGAATAACAATAGTCGTGGCAGGTGATGGCGCAACACGATTCAAGATGCAAAATAGACACCATTCAGCTCACTTCCTCGCTCGCCGAGCCCGGCCGGATCGCGCACCGAGAATCTCACGAAGCACCAGCGCCAAAAGACCACCGTTCTACGCCTCCTCTTTGGGAAAGATCTTGTCTTCGTAGACGCTGTAGTGGCTAAGATCTTGAACAGTCTTGAAGTGCTCGACTGGTTGGCGGGTTCGAGGTGATTCAACCAAGTCCACAAGGTTGACATGAGTTACTCGCATGGTCTGGTATCTGGTCAGTTTTCCATTGCAAATGGCTGCGGGACGAGCTTCACTAACTGTGCGTGCTTCGTGAAGAGAAGTTGGTTTGGGCAAGCCGATGAGGCTGAACATATTCTGACAGTGCAGAAGATTGTCCTTATCCTCACCAACGACGTAGTTGAACTCCTGGATGACTGAAACGCGGAAGTTGTGCCAGGGCTCAGTGGCTTCCTCATCAGGCCAGCCGAAGTGATCACACATGCGATAGAACTCATCGAAACAGGGTTTGGTGCGTTGATAGTCAAACTCTTTGAAGTTGGCGAAAAACAGGTCCACGGGATAGTCTGTAAACTGCTTGCCAGGAAGTTCCCAGGGGACGAAGTGGAAAAGTTTACAAGATTCACCCTGCTAGCAATCCCCGTCGTTGCGAGATTCAGGGCACAGCCGCGTGAACTTACGACGCTGCCTGGGAGCCTTGGGCTCCTTCTTGACTACAGGAACAGGCCGGAAGAGGTCGTCTTTGAGCTGAAATATATAGTTGGTACGGTGACATTGCCGAGATGCTGGCCGGTGAGATCTTACCTGGCGAAATCGCTTCAGCTCGTTGTCGACCCGACTCTGCGGGACTTCACCCTCACCCTCACCATTGGGCTTGTTGTCGTCCTCGGGCGACAAGGAAGCGACACCCTTTTGCTGGTCACCCTATGACGTTGACATGCTGGATATTTCAGGTAGGTATATTTGGCTTGTGATGTGTGTTGTTGTGTTGTTGATATGTGGCTACCTGTTGGAGAGAAGAAGAGGACAAAAGAGGAGGGAGAGGTTGAGGATCAAAATAAAAAGAGGAAACAGTGCTGAGATTAGGGCACATTGAACAAGGCAGGGCACGGGGTGTAACAGTGGCAGGCAGAGTGTGACAGTGATTCAGTGACAAGCGGGCTGGCAACAAGGCACAGTTTCTCGTAGTGAATCGGATGACACTAACCGTCTAAAAGGCTTCAAAAAGGCTCCAGCTGCCTACAAGATCTTTACTTTAAAAGTGCACACGGCCTTGATCAACGAAGGATAGGGGTTGTTCGTTGATGCACAGCTTTCAGATAACCTGCGCAATTAGCACGAAACGTAAAGAATACAGGGACTCTATTTCACAACCAAAATCTTAGGGAAACATGTAAATTGCACAAGGACACATAAAATCAAAGAATGTATCAAGACAGCCGGGAGCGTCCTATTGCTAGCCTCCGGCGAGATGAACTCCAACATCACCACAGTACTAGCAATCACGCCTAGCAACACCTGACGTTCTTTACATACCCAGGCAAGACATTAAATACGTATTAATGTCAGAATAGAGTCAACTGAGATTCTTTTACTAATGCTGGAACTTGTGATTGTGCACCCTGTTGTCGTTAATGCTCGAGTGTTCTGCAACACTGCCATCTTACAGTCTGCCTGAAACATCAAGCATCCTAACTACTAATAGAACGGTTATTATCGAGACAAGTCCAATATACGCGCATTGATAATGCCAATCAAGGTAAATACCACAGTAATATTATACACGGCGGCAAGCCAGAATCGCCAACCTTCGCCCCTGTGCTTCAAGCAGGCACAAAGACATGCATAGTAGCATATTTGTTCGGATTCTGGTTAGATACGGCAGGAAAATTTGGGATCATGGTGCTAGAAAATGGCCTCGTTTGTCCTTATTGGAGATGAGAATCATCCGCTGTCGTGCTATCAAACTACCAATCATCCGATATACAAAGTTTGTGACCAATATCGTTCACTGGTCCGACGTAGACTTGCCCCCTGGTCCGTCACCTCAGGTTTCTTCTTCTTGAAAACCATCTCCTCTGCATTGTTTCCCTCGTGGGTGCCACCATTTTCACCCTGATCTCCGGTGTTGTCTCCATCACCCTGGCCCTAGAGCTTGGCTGCAATACCACTAGCACTCACGACGACTCCCGCGGCAATTATCTCACAGAAATGGTCACACATGCAACGGGCAAACGCCGCAGGCGGCCAGGTCCTTTGTAGTAAGGTTATGTGTGACGAAGAGAGGTAACACTCTATTTGGTCCAAGGTGAGAAATATACTCTGTCAAAGTGTTCAAATTATCCAGAGGCTTTAAGAGACGTAAGATTAAAGTCCAACGTCAGATTGTCAAGAAAAACTGCGTATAAGTGAAGTTCTCAGTTTCCCTCGCCTGGCCAAGATGTGAGTATGCGAAACGCGCAAAGGCGTAACCCATCAAGGCAGAGAGCATGTTGATTGCTTTTACCAAGATCCCAACCCCATAGCCACCCATGCCAGCACTCTTGAAAGTTGCAAAGAGGCGCACAAGAGCAATATTGCCAATCAAGCTCTGAACCCAAGCTGCGAGCGGTCCTTAGCGAGTTCCAAGCTTGCACAATGAATTCTGTATTTGAAAACATCTTCTAACCTGGTAACGGACTGCCGGGTATGAGGTCGATAGCCTGGAGGATTAGGGCGAACCATGCCATGATGAGAGTGCTGGGTCGGTGCTCAAGAAGAAGGAGTGGAGTCCCGGGTGCGAGAGACTATGAGGCAGTTGTGAAGATGATCTTTCTAAAGTTATTGCGAGTTTATGGCTGTCTGTGTTTGGTATGAAGGAGTTATGAAGAAAAGAAAGCGGTGCAGTCTGGCTATGGGTTTAAGAAGCTACTGGTAAGCCAAAGCAGGCACTAACGTTGGCATTAACACTGACATCAACACTATTGCCTAAACTTTTTGCCTCAGGTGAATTATTCTAGTAGTGGCAAACTCTGTTTCTGTTTCTTTGTATATGCGAGTGCCTTATAATCATCATATTTGATTTACATAAATTCAGGCTGTATGAAGGATGGAGTTCTGCCTCAACACGGTAAGAGACGAATCAAGAGAAACAAACACTACGATTTGAGGCACAATACACCTGAAAGCGTCTATTTTGAGAACTCGAGTAAAGAAGATTAACTTAAACGTTTCCGAACGATGAGTAGTATCTGCTTGACGAGAATGCCATCATGTCAGCTGAGTTAGTCCCCATCAAATGTGGAAAATTTAACTACAGTAAAAAAGGTCAAGTGTTTCACTTTCAAAGGCGTATTCTATAAATAAGGTAGCACAATCTCAATTATAGACAGAATAATGGTGCGTTTAATGGTGTGGGATATTAGCTAGCATCCATAGAAAGACCTAGAGCTCATATGATGTTCCCAAAGATTGCAGAACCAGAATTTATTCTTATCTTCTCAGATAGGACATGGGATCTTGACATTGCGAAAAACAGAGAATGCCGGTTTGCCAAGGTCATGCACACATGCCAGCCTTGTAGAAACTCCCCCCGTAACAGGCCAAGGCAGCTCGTTGAAATTCTTCAAAGTCGCTTCTGAGTGCATCGTTGCTCGGCTCTGAGCCCAAGACACAAGTAATTCTAAAAGTAATACCAAGTTAGCCTACGCCATAGTATGTAATCTTAGTTTCCACAAACTCTTGTATGAATCGGTAGGTATGAGGCCTTCTAGACCTATGTTCCTCCTTAGGAACCAGGCCCCGGCGACAAGGGGGAATGTAAACGGTCCATAGTCCAGACTCAGGGGCAACGAAACTTGGCGTGCGAGATGACGATTTTTACGCGGAGGGCACGACCATAGAACACACTCAAGATCTAGTAAGTAATGGTGCTCTTTCAGGGACGAAAAAAAGTTGAGGGAGAAACAGAGACTGGTAAAGGTTGCAGAATGGGAAAGGGGCAGATCAAAACCAGTTCAAGATAAGGACCAACACCTCTGCCTTACTGGCTCATCTTCAGAGCTCGTTCAATTTTTAAAGTCTCTTGATTGTTGTCAGTTTACTTCAATATGCACGTAACAACGCAGTCCAATTTTTTCCATTCTCACTTATGCTTGTTGACAGAAGGCTGTGAAAAGAAGCGCATCAACAAGCAACAAACACTATAACAAAGAACCAAACAACACTATACTAAGATCCAGTTGTTGTCGGGAATTTTCATAACATCTCAGAGCTGCCCATCCACTCAGCCTATCAAGATCTCCTCCAATAGCTCTAAATCGAGAGATATGGGAGATGCACAAGTTAAAAACGCTGGTGATATACTTCACTCAACGAGACAGACCATCACGCTCCCTTTGCAACTCGGGAACTTTTCCATGAGTAATCAAGCTGCATCCCCTTCCCTAGTCCGATGTGATAGCGTATATTCACTACGTAGACTGGTTGAAATTAACCTGGGCTATGTATGAGCCTAGGATGGGTTTGAACGTTGGATCAGAATTCAAGTAGGTTTAGAATGAACAACAAACCACTATCTCTAGTATCGAGTCGGTATGCTCTCTTTGAAATGCAAGCATCTCATAGCCAGATGAGAAGCCGATAAACACATGCGTAGGAGATTGTTATCTATTAACTATGCTTGTTTATATGTAAGCTGCTGTTGTTATTATCAGTTTCCCTGAACAAGCAGCTGCTAATACAAACCAGGGAAACTCCTAGTGTCTTGTCTGATCGAGGTATGTATATTCCAGAGGTTTTCTCCTAAGTCTTTGTCCTAGAGAATCAAATTCTCTATCTTATATGTTCTTCTATACACATACACATGTAATACCTAGGCAGCCATACTAACGATTCATCTAAGTATCCACTTTACACCACAACTTTGGGTCACAGCTCCAGCTCCAGATTAGAGAGCATCAAGAACACATCGAGACCACGCCTCTTGATGTCTTTTGCTGAACGACTCGGATGCCTGCCACTCTGGTCTCTGAGACACATTAATAGACGACGACCTCTCCTGAAAGGTTTTATTATATCTAAAAACTTTCACATTGGAGTTGCCTTCGCAACCCAACCCTGCAAGAATGAGGAAAGCTTCGGGAGTATAAGGAGTCCCCGCTGTGTTCTTCATTGTCGTTTTGTCTTTCAAACTCCTTATCCTATCAATGATATTGATCTTTCATTATATCTACTAAAAGCTTAATAAAAGCTCATATAGTATTGTATCAATCTTGCCTTTATTATACCTTTGATCACGCTGTGGCAATGTGATGATGAAACAGACCACACTCGGGTTCTTTCATCTTCATTTAGTTCCACTTCCTCATCTGCCTTGCACTCTGAACTAGATAATTGGATTCCAAATCATTATTGTGAGAAGCTATGTCTTTTGATCTATTCTAAACATTTCACCCCTATACGCCATCTATATAACGCTCATTATAATCATAACTCTATCCCGCCAAAGCCTCATCTCGTGCCTTGATATCTTCCTGCTTGCCCTTCTCCTCCTGTTTCTGTTCCTGCGCCTTGACCTTATCCTTTTTACTCATAGTCAAAGCCCCCTTCTTGAACGCCTCGTTCGGTAGGGGTCGAATGATGGGTTGAACCACCCACCAAGGTCTTCGGCACCGCCTTTGTGTGCCTACTGAGCTCTCCGTCTCAGGAGGATCCTCCTCGCCCTCGGCCAATGGTGTCTCCGCAACGCTCTCCCCATTGGTGAGCTCGTACTCAATGAGACCTTCTGCAACCTTGCGCTCCACGGCAGATAGTACGCGCTCGTAGGCTTCCATGTCGCCTGCTCGGCTCTTGGCTAGCATGTCTCGCACGTCGGTGTGCTTGGAGACAAAGTGTCGCAATAGATGGAAAAGATGGGGTTGCATGGCTGACATGTTGGGTCCCTGTTCCCCCTTCTTGCCCAAGTCCTTTCTTCGCTTCTTGGACGGTGGCTCGTCTTCAACTGTCTCGCTCTCGTTCATCCACTCAGTATCGTCACCAGGCATGAAAAGTGGTCGGCGCTCGATGTGCTTCTCTCCGAAAACGTGTTCGTGGAGGATGTCCATGTATCGTCTGAACACAGCATCAACTCTGTAACCCCCTTTTCCATCTTTTCCTCTCCAATATTCTCGTCCCTCCTCTCCGACGGCTGGTGGCTTTGTGAAGATAGCTGGGTCGCTGAGGTTGCCCTCGGCGCTCATCACGCCATCGGCTCCTGTAGCCTCGAGGCACTTCTCGATGTCTCCCTCCTGAAGGATGTTTCCATTCGCGAAAATGACTGTCTCCCTGGGTAGGCTGTCTCTCAAAAACCGAATCATCTTCCACTCAGCCAGGCCCGTCAAATGTCCCTTCTGCTCCCTTCGTCGGCCGTGGACAGTGAGGATGGATGCGCCAGCCTTCAGGACATTCTGCGCGTATGCCAGGGTCTCCTCCTTCGTGTCCAGGATTCGAATCTTGGCTGTCACAGGCACAGGCAACTCCTTGTGCAAAATGTTGATCAAGCGGAAGATAAGATCCTGGTCTTCCTGGAGGAAAGCACCATACTTTCCCTTTCGTGCGATACCTTGAGGACATCCGAGATTCAAGTCAACAGCATCGCAGTAAGGGGCGACTTGCTTAGCGGCAGAAAGGAGCGCTTCGGGGTCGTTCGCGCAGAACTGGACGAATAGCGGTCGGTCGATAGAAGGGTTTCCGTCAAGCCAGGGAGTTTCGCCGTCGGATTTAACCGATTGGAAGTGCGCCTTGCGATACTTCTCGTCCTGTGAAAAGAGTCGAGCGTGGAGCATGGGTGTATAGGCAAGGAGACTCTTTTGTTCAGTGGGTGAAATGAAACTTCGAGTCAACATGCGCCAGGCCTAAGCTGTCAGTCAAACCACACATGACTAGGTCGAACAACAACTTACAAATTCAGACTGGTCTACCATAGGCGCAACGATGAACTTGGGGCTTCCGATAGACTCGTAGAATGCTCGTCCTTGCAGCTTGGTAGGGTGCTCCCCCGCGCTGGTGGGGTTCTCCTCTGTGGTCGTCATTGTAGACATGCGCTGTGCGAAACAGACAAATCGGGGGCTTGAAACAGAAAGATGTAGATATCCCGGACTCTTCAAGAGCCAGGCTCGTCGTGTTAATCGATCCAGAGTGTTTAACGAGACGTGGCGCAAAATGGTTGAGATGGAGTGTTCACAACCTTTGTATGACCACCAAAATATTATTCTTTTTTTCTTTTTTTTTTCAATATTTTACCTCCGAGTAATGTTGCGGCCCGGATGTGGGGGTGGGGGAGGCTTGTGGCTGAAGATATCGCGGGGACTTTGAGGCTTAAGCCTTATTTCCGAGAGATCCAGAGGGTGGGTACATGTACCGTTTTATTCTTCTCATGTACCTCCAATAGTGGGTCTCTTTAAAGATGCCAAGCAACCTACACCCCAAATCATGTACACAAGTGCCCTTCCCTTATCTGTAAATTGATTCGATCCCCTGAATCAAATGAAGATCAAACAAAATCTGAAGTGTACACACACAATCGAGATTAATGATCATGTTAAGCCCCTGATGCCTGCATCTCGTAAGCCAACTCGGAAAAGCCCTGAGCACTTATACTGATGCGCTGAAAACGAGGTAAAGTAATGTCTCAAACATTCACAGGGCGATGTAAAATGTTCCGGCCAAGCAATTAAAACTTAATGATGTATCCATTCCATTGATTTTTTTGGTTCATGTCGACAAGACTAGCAAATGATGTTCTGTGAATTAACGCGGTGTCCCCGTTTCAATGGTTACACTGCTGCAAGCCCAGAAATATGTATGTATGTAATTTCCATTACGCTCCATTCCTCGTCGGTCCCAGATGAAAAGAAAAGAGAGATGAAGCAAAGCAAAATTAAAGAAATGTATGACTCTTTGGTCTAAATTCCACATGACATGTAGAGACTGGTTAGAGTGATCAACACCATTAACACCGTACAATGCTGTCCCAAACGCCCAAGCGGTTAATATGGTTGCTTGCAATACAAGATTCCGGCTTGATCTCCGGTATCAGTCAAGGAAACAAAACACTGCGCTAACAAGCTTCGCTCCTCGTGGTGGGCATTGCCATCATCAGAAAAAGTGCGTGTAAATCTTTGAGTTTTCGTGAACCTCCATTTCCTATAACCTGTTAGCAACTGGTGTGCCGTTGTAATTCTCAATGTCAAAACGTACCATCTTGAAGGTGTTCAGCTCCTCCTTGATCTGCTGCGCAAGCATGGGAGTCAATCGGTTGCAGGTAGCAATCTCACCGCGACGATCGTACTCCTGACTAGGCCAAGTATCGTGGAAGACAATACGGGGCGAGAAAGTAGCGTTACGCTTGGTAGATCCGTGGGGAGTGTTTGGTGCGCTCTTGCTGTCCTGTCGTAGCCTCAAAGCGGACATGAAATAGTCTTCACTGCCAATAGCAATCGAGCCAGTTCGGCGATGGCCCTGAGACTCGTCGTTGGGAGTGCTAGGGGCACTGGAGTTCGGGGAATCGGTGACAGCAGGAACGCTGGGGAGATCAAGGCCAGGCGAGGAATCAGCAGGACGGATGGAAGGGCTGGCTGAGCCAGGGCCTACAGACTGTTAGCAAGAGAATTTATAAGAAAACCTTTTGACTTACGCTTCAAAATTCCCTTGCGGACGGCAGCAAGCACCTCCGCACGTTCCCTGTCGCCACCAACAATACTCTTACGCGAATTCGAGTTGTCAGTTCCAGAGCTCCCAAGACGCTCAGCAATCTCGGCACCCAAATTGGTATCGATCGAATTGCGCTCAAGATGGGGGAAGGTATCTGTCTGTCTGGGATCGGCCGACACGTTAACTCGTTGAGTCTCAGCCTCGACAGTGACCATCGATACAGCAGCTTGGCTAGCCTCGGGCTTTACAGGTCCATCAGCAGGAGCAACTCCAATCACTGACTTGGGTCGGAAAATTCCAACAAAAGATCGACCACCCTTCTTCATACCTCGGCCCATCTTTCGAATCATGATAGAAGCCGATGACGCTGTCGAGGAGATGGAGAGGTTGTCGGTTGAGCCACCAAAGAATCTGCCACCATAGATGCTGTGTCCGAGGCCTGCAGCCTCCTGCGCTTCCGCGATACGTGCTTGTTCGGCATCGTAAGCTTCGTCGGCCGTTGGGTCCTTGTGGAGTTTGGAGGGTTCTGTCTTATCAGCTCCCTCACCCTCATCAGCATTACGGAAGTCGGCTGCGCTTCCAAATGAGAAAGCACGTCGCAGTCTGGAGGTCTTGCTCTTGGATTTGCGTCCTTTATCTTTGATAGCAGCAAGCTGTTTAGCCGCGGGTGAGTCTACTTTACCCGCACCTGATGCATTAGAAGATCCGTCTTCAGCGACCTCGCTAGCCATGGTAGCTGGTCTAGAGAGAGGTGAAGGGTTTGTAGTGCGTTTAATCGCATCGGAAGATGATCCTCGAGGTGGGATGTTGACCTTGGCGTGATCTTGCTTAGAAGTGATTTCGCTGTTTGCCTGGGAAGAGGGGTTTCCAGTGGGGGCAGACACATTACGGTTGGCAGACTGCAGAACATCCCTGTTAGCATTCAAGTTTTACCACCCATTGCTGATTGGATAGTGTTTCAAGGATCATCAACTTACCGAGGATGGTCGAGAGTGACTGCTGCGGCTGGAATTTACACTCTCAGAACTTCCGTTGCGCGAGTGTGCGGCAGCGTTAGTGACAACACGCAGTGTTTGGGAGTTTCCATCTGCCTTGCTCTTGTCATGCGTAGCAGGCTTCGACAGGTCAGAATCGGCACGAAGACTTCGACGGCGGGATCGGTTTGAATCATCCATGGGAGATTGAAGAAGTTGCATATCATCCATAGATGTGCCAGGCATAGCATTATAGAAGCTGTTGGGTCTGTTTGGAATCGCCGAGCGGGCAGGATTGGGGCCATTATAGAGTTGAGTTGCAGTAGGCATTCCATTCACTGGGACAGCTGTGCTCTGAGAACGCCCGTGCTGGTTTTGTTGAGGAGTGAGTGACCGTCTATACCTGTCCGGTGCAGCTTTGCTTGAAGAAGTTGGAGAGGTTGGTTGTGTAGGGCCAGCAAGGAAGGCAGAATGAGGTCGAGGAGCAGGCACAATGTTTCGTCGCTGAGGAATGGCAGAATCATCACGAGCACCCGTTTGGCCAACGCCCATGGCATTGTATTGCACGTTGGTAGCTGAGGAACTAAACTGGCGTCCGCCGTAGTTGGCGTTGTGGTTATAGTTTCGCGTCGGTTGACCTTGCGGTTGCCAAGATTGTGTATGGTTCAGGGTCGGTGTGCTAGTGAAAGCGTATTGCTGGACAGGAGTCGAACTACCCCGGTAGCCAGTAGGAGAAGGAACAGCATATCTTGGGGCTTGAGCCGCTGCCGCATACTGATGGCCAGCCTGGCCTTGGTTATTGGGTATCATGCTTGTTGAAGAAGACGGTCGGGTCTGGAGCATTGTAACCGTTGCAGTTTGCTGGGGAAAGGTCTGAACCAGAGCAGCCATAGTTTGCGTTGACGTATAACGAGCAGTAAAGCAGCCGTCAACAACAAGCGTGACCGCGAGAGTGCCTGTTGAATACCTTCGGTCTTAATTCGAAGGGATCGGACGAGGTCGGTTCGAGGTGCAGTGTGTTTGCACTCAACAAAAGAGCAACTGTGGCCAAGATTCATGTTAGCACGGTTTTCACTAGACACGGCCTACAAAGACCAAAGAAAGCTTGAACAATCCGGATATCCCTTCTTGGGTTGCATTCCCGCAGATAGCCGGGAGAGATTTGCGTAACCACCTACCTGTTTTTTTTTTCCTGTTATATCTTTATGACAAACGAAAGAAGATGAGGAGGCTGTGGTTAAGGACGCCAGCGACCAGAAACAAAGGGAATTGATCGTGCTGAGGAAGCAGCTCACTATTACCGTGAGCAGACTTTGACTCTGCTACAAGACGAGATATGCTAATGGAGATTGGGGACAAGATCAAGAGTCGTGACAGACAGCTTGAATCTCGACCTAGTTGTAACGGAACATGAGAGGGTCGTCGACAGTTCGGGGCAATGGAACGGTGAAGTAGACGAGTGAGGCGAGGAAACAAAGTATTACGGAGTTCGCTCGTGAGATGAGGGTTATGATCGACAGGGCAGGCAGATTTCCGGTCGTCGAGAACCGTCACAGGGATCTGGAGAGAGCAGAAGCGAATGGCTAAGCAAATGCAACTGCGGATAGAACGCTACAAGTGTCGAGGTCTGAGGCCAAACGATCACAGGAGACGATAGATGTAGAATGTGGAAGATCGAAAGATCGAAAGCGTTCGAAGGGTTCTGGGAGATTCGGGGCAAGCGACGGCCGAGAGAAAGGGGTACGGCAATTTGGAGAAAGTCGAGCCGGGGAGACGAGGGGCAGAGAAGGCCAAAATGGCGATGGGTTACGGTGATGGCGATAATGAGGAGGAGAATAGAAAGGAAAAGGAAGAAAAGACACCTGAACAAGGAGAAACAACGAGACGATGAGATGAGATGGTGAAGAAGTCAATCTGTAGTTCAGAAAGTGAGGTGAGGTGATTGAGAAACCTCAAGAGCCCAGGTGGGTACGTAACTCGTGTTATCCACACGCTAATAATGCATGGGATGGCCCTGGTCGGACTTGCAGAAAAGGGACCCCGTGGTGCAGAGCTCACTACAATGGACTGCCAAAGTTTGTTTGCTACAGGGCACAGACAGCAGTAGAATCCCTATAATTTAGCGGTCCAAGGCCCAAAATTCCGGGTACACGACCACTCCAACGCGGCCTATCGCAAGTGATCTCGGACATGCAACCCTTTCGACATGAACGTGACAGCAGTGTGGTTGCAATCTAACGCCTATTCAGAAAATAGCCTCGAATGAGGATTGATTGCTAGGAAGGAAGAGGCAAGTGACAGCCGCGATTCATCTATCTCACTCAAACATCCGCTCTTGGGTCTTCAGCTTGATCACGACAATAGTAACACAACCTCACGCGTTCAAAGACAACGTATCAGGCTGGTAACCGTTCCGTAGTCCTGGAGATAAAGTATTGTCAGCATGCAGGGGACAAGGGGCAAGACGTCGTAAGCCAATTCTCTCCGTCCGTCTGGTTGCTGTTGGCATCTCGAGATGGTCGATATTCACACATGCCTCTCATGCACCCGCAGTCGCCCTAAACACGAGGCGCTCGTGGAGCCATCCCAGGGATTCCCCAAGTGAAAATCCCACAACTCCCAGGAGACTTGAGCGGGTCTTGTCAATGCCAGAGGAGCCAGTACGTTCACCATTGGTCACCGCTGCACTGAGCTAGCAGGGAGCCTGGCTCGGTAGAGTGACCACGTCGAGGTCTCTCATCTCTCGCTCTGTTGTGCTTTCTAGGCTGTCGCGAGAGAGGCAGAGAGCATTGATCCAGGAACAAACGCCTGTCCGTGCTAGTTTGATGGCTTTTGCCTGTGCTTCCTCTGCTGCATTGCCCAGTGACCAGCTGACGGGACCAGGAAGGGCTCAAACATTGGTGCAGTCTCTGTGCGAGGCTATATTGGTGTTTGGGATGAAGTCCCTGAATTTCTTTCCGTCCCGTCGTCGCTTGTCGGCGGTCCTATGTTTGTTGCCGTCTCAAACTAGCAGACCGAAACGGATTTCGGGGTCTTGAGAAAAACCACCTCACAACAGACAGCGACTACGGGATACATACTCAGGGGTATGAACGTTTTCCGGCCGCTGCACAAAATACTTGCGTGTACAGTACAGTACAAGACATACATGCACATCCATGAATTGGACCAAAGCAAGGGACATTCAGGGGATAAGCCTGGCTTAGTAACTGATCCACGTCAGACGTGCCAATCACCAATGGGCATCATAGACGTTGAGAGGATCAACATTGAGATACGATTGATTTTCACGCTTTAGCTCCTTTAGGGGTTCGCGCTTGTGTGTGTCTCGTCTAGAAAGGGTCATGGCTTTTTTCGGCTGTTTCTTTCAGGTTATGTGACTTTTAGGCCGGACAATTGATAGCGGCTAACGTTAGAACGAGCCAAACAGCCTGGTATCGCTTGGCGTTGTGTTTAACATAACCAACAGCTCTTGAAGCTATTCTGGCGATATTGACAAATATGTAATCAATCTGACAATGACTCGCCGTTTCCAAGAAGGAACAAATATCTCAATATTCCAGTAAACAAGACTACCCAGTCGAGATATGTGTGAACCCACTCAGCTGCTGAACTTCTTTTAAGTCGGTCAACTTTCTGCAACTCAACTCTTATTGTTCGCCCGGCACGATACGAAAACACCAATTATTCCTTCAGCCGCAGCCATTCTTTTCATGTACCCGCAGCCCTGGGATTCCTCTGGCATATGATCGAGGCCGTTGGCTCGATGTCGGCAGAGAGAAGCGTCTCATGGCTTGCAGTCTGCAGTAGCTTCTGCAGGATGCGTGGGATCTGACACCAAACATCCGATAAGTCCAACTGGTCCAGTACTTTCAACGGCCACAGTGGGACACTCAAAAAGAGCCCCCATGGGCCGAAGACGCGAGTCCAGTGGATCTCGAAGCGAAAAAAAGAGGCCAATCTCATGCACGATGAAATCGTAAACTAGCCCTCGACTTCTGATAGGAGGGGATTTGACATGTTTTACAAGACGACACCATCTTCTATCACTTTGACCCTGAGAGACATTCCTATGCTTGACTCTTGCTACCATAGAGTCTCTTCAGCTCACCACAATTGCTGACCCTTACATATCATAGGTATTCTCATTGGCTTTGCTTCTCCTGTTTCTATATCATAACAACAGCTCATGCATGGTACTGGAATTTTCCATGACAGCATGATATGGTACTCCAGTCTCCTCGCCTCTTCCAAGTAAGAATAGTAGTCATCCGCGTATTTTTAGAATGGGTCCGCAGGCCGTCAATCGCGTACCCACTGAGGAACTTGATTGTGCGTGTATTTTTGCTTAATGGATGTGTACAGAATAGCCAACGCTAGCGAGACTTGGAAAGATCACGTTTCTAGCATGTTTATCTTGTTGCAGAAAGGGAATGAATACCGAAAGCACAAAACTTTAACAGAGAGACTATTATTGACGAGAAACCTGTTCATGGATTGTCTTGACCGACAAAACACCGTCACTTTCATACCAGTCTTTGTCTGACTCAATTTACGGGTCTGGGGTAGGTAGAGAATGACAATGGAGGAGACATCCTGGACATTTCCAGGGTTGAAACAAGCTCGCAGGCTGGGGTCTCAATCGACATTCTGAGACAGGCACATTAAATTCTGGCGATATTTTAGATTGCTTCATCATGCTTATTGCTGTATATTGAACCATGCTATAGAAACTGCGCCTCATGGAGCAGAAGCAAGTCATGCTATCTAGATATCCATTGACCATAGATAGAAAGAACTGAGATGAACTCAAATCTCGGCTCTGCAACAGACCAAATGTGTGTTGTTGAGGTCTTGGCTGCCGAGGTTGGTGTACACATCCCATTACAACACTGCTTTGAGCCTCACGACCAGTTGCTTGTAGGAGAAACTGAGCATGGCCCCCAAAGCAGGGTTTATACTAAATATATTGCTCAGTTTGCCACCGTAAGGTCTTTGCTCTGGCTGTCGCGGCTGTTTACTTTTCAAATCAGCCTCAACTCAATTAACCATCCAAGCAGACTCCCGCCTTTGCCGTTCAACAGCCCTTTGGCCCGTCTGGACCGACTGGATTCGGGGTTCGACCAACAATTTAGACAACTAGCTTGGCTATCGCATTAATCTAAAACTCATTAAAGTGCTCGTCTCCTCATTCAGCGTCTCTAGCTCGATATACGCAATCCAATACACACGCACAGGCTAATATGCGAACCGTTCTTCGGTACTCCAAAGAAAAGCGAAACTGCTTGGGTAATGCAGATCAATCTCTCAACATCCACGATTTAATTACTGGGCGCATGTAACAGCGTCTCAGCTCATGGGCCACAGCGGCCAACTGCGTTGAGATTTGGGCCGTGCCCCTATGTTCAGATAGATTACACCAGGGATATGAATTCATTTCAGTTCTCAGGACGAGTTGGATGTCTCCCGGGGTTCTCTGAAAACCTCCTAGCGTCGTTCCAATGTAGTAATTCCCGCAGCTAATTGCCGGAGAATACTGTAGTCCACTCTCCCCGTGGGCTGGTTGGCCGCCGTTGTCTATTATTCAATTTCGGTGAAGTTGTCCTAACTGAGCTTTCTGAGAGGGAGACCGACGAGATGTTACAGATACATCAAATGATCGACATTGACAAGAAAGATTGACTGAATGCAACACCACCAAGCCTCGGGCCAGCTTGTAAAGTGGTCCTGGTGGAATTCGATCATAGTTTCTCCAGATTTTTGAACAAATCCATTCGTGACAGGCTGAATAGACTAGACGTCGATACTACATAATCCTCTCAAAGGTAGCAGTACTGTGCGTGATCCGCGTTGTCAGATTTGCGAGAGGCGTAGTAACTGTTCTGGGGCTGATTTCCATATGGAGGAAGAGGTAGCGCTGAATCCCTTGTTGAACTTAAAACTCTACAATAGCACACACTGCCTCCGAAGAATACATACATCCTTAATAACACGGCATAGAAACCCCGCGAAGACGGATGCTCTCTAAAGGGCCGATCCGACAGCGCAAATCATCTCTCTTCCCCGCCAGCACAAACATATTCATCACAATCCCCTCAACGTCGCCGGCCGCTTCGGGAAGCTAAACCGCTGGAGGTTCATGTCGATCTGATCCGACCCGATAGCGGCACAGATGATTAGTTAAGAACCGGCGGTGAGCCCTTGATTAACCTTGTCATGGTTGGTGTTCCGAGGAGCACTGGATGCCGGCTTTGCAGAACCAGGAAGGTCAAATGTGATACTCTCAAGCCGTCCTGCGGCAACTGCATCAAATATGGAGCAGAGTGTCCAGGTTATTCTCGTGGCCTAAAGTTTGTCGATGAGAAGCATCAGATTCGTCAACGCGGCAGGCGACAGGGCAAAAGCGAAGAAGTGTCGACTAGTTCCTCTTCCAGTACAACGGGCTCTGATATCGCTACATCAGACTCAGAAACATGGTCTCTGGTTAGGCCCTCACCAACCCTGCTGAGGCTGGAGTTGCCAAGAGGGCCACTGCTACTCAACATGATAGAGTCGTCCACTAACTACACTCGGTCCACCGATGTCTTTATACTCTTATCATGGTTGAACATTGATCGTCTAGGAAAGCGGGCTCTGCTCGACGGGGCTATCTGTTCCTTTGCTCTACATCTTACTGGCAAAGCAAACTCCAATGCCGACCTGGTCGCCAAAAGCAGAACTATATATGGCTTGGCACTCAATGAGTTACAGGCCGCTCTGCAACACTCCACAGAGTGGAAGGCATCTGAGACCCTGTGCGCTGCTATACTCTTATGCTACTTTGAGGTATTCCTGCTACCACTGTTCTTTATTCAAAGCTTACGCCCCATAGCTGTTTGCTGGGACAACTGTCCCCGATACTTGGATCCAACATGCCAAAGGCATTGGAACTCTAATGGAGCAGCGAGGACCAGCAGCTCACGCTGAAGGCTGGGACGCAGCTATGCTGCTCTCATGCCGTGGTATTCTTGTATGTCACACGTTTCTCCTTGACTACAGGAACAAGGCAAAGGATAAGGAACTCGCATTATCTCCAGGTCAAGTGACGGAGCCTTGCGAATGCCTTCCAGTAAGAACCAATCGTTGTTTTGGGAGCACAATGCGTTTGATCCTGTATCTGTTTCGTCACCAGCAGGGTTACTCTGCATTGCTGCATTGAGATGGCGCGATATAGCATCTCACATATCACCCATCCAGTCCAAGTGGACTTGTCATCCTAGCCCTTCACCTTGAGTGGATCTTTCGTCCCTTTGCAGCGGCTTTGACAATGTTACCCTAGCGGGGTCACTACTAACACGGTCCCATGCCAGACTATAAGCGACATGTTCTATCCCGGAAAGGACCAATTGTTCCTGTCGAGGCCAGCATGGAGGCATGTCACGTCTGATGGCGGTAGACGTCTCATCTATGCTCCTGACGCCCCAATTGAGCACATCCGCGTCGGTGATGGCTTCCTTGCAAACCTGGCCCAGCTCACACCTATTTTGCATGGGGCTTATCTTCTGAGAGAAGCTAACAAGGCGGGCATATTTGTCGAGCCTGACAAAATCTCCGCCTTGGCCCACCTAGCCACCGTGGAACATGCGAGATTGGCGCGATGGTTCGACGATTTCGACGCGCTTGAGTTTCCAAGACCGGTCAAGGTTATGCCAACCGACCCGGCGAATTCGCTGTTCGAGACAGTGCTGGAACACAAGTCGGCAGTAGCCGGGTCCTTACTCATGGGATACTGGGCAAGTATGCTCATTCTAGAAGAGACACTGGTCGAATGTGGGACACCGCGAGCTAACTCGGAGATATCCATCCGGTACTTCGTAAATCAGATATTGCGGTCGGTAGAGTCTGTGGGACGAGGCACTATGGGGCCATATCGAATTGGGTTCGCCATACGGATCGTATATGAGTTCGCTACTGGGCAAGAACAGAGGTGGATTGCCAGCATGCTGGATAGGTTCTCACGAGGGTATGCTGCTATTGACAAGAAGACATACCCTAAGCCTAAGGATGATGACACTCAGCCAACGCGGGTTGTTCAGTCTGCAGCTTAGGGTAGTTGGTGGCCTTTGACATGGTGAGAAGAGTTGGAGCATGTTTGATGACTGGAAAGGTCTCCCAAGATGATGCTTGATATTGCAGGTAGATACTGTTTATTAGCATATTAAGGAATTTTCTGCAAGTCAATTGATACCCAAACCTTTACAAATCTTTACAAGTCTTACACCAGTACTGAATCTATCGGAAAGGGCGACAAGTGTGTTCTTCCCGTTCTACTGATTGGCGTCAAGATGGCAAGTCCTCTTAAGCCATTTATGTATTTTGGATGTAACAAGTATTCCTTGATTAATTAGTTACATGGAATGATGTAGCTGGGAGTAACCTTGTCGTCTAAGGTTACTGAGACTTGACGGTTTGCTCAGATATCATATTCTTATTGATACTTCTGTAGCTGTTATTGGAGTGACTGAATTCCAGTGCCTGATTGCCACTAGGTTAAAGGTGAGACACGTAGGAGTTGTCGTGTGTCATACTATGATAGGAGCTCGCCATAGTAAATTTGAAGCTTAAACCTAATCACTGTCAAGCCTCTATCAGTTGTATATGAGACTTGGCAGATATGAAAAGCATTACAAACCAGCTGAAGTTCTGGTTCTGTAGTGATATTTTTTCGTTGAATAGATTCCCCATGTGTTTGACAAATATGACTCGAGAGTGCCAGCTTTTTGAATACATAGCCCCCTCAAGGTCGCTCATACTCAAGTAATAAGATGCAGACGCTTGATCATTAGAGTCGAGTTTCCTGAAAAGAAACACCCATATCTAAGAAGCTCATAAGTGATGTTACCTAAGCGTAAACACAGTTGGGTTTGGATCGGGGTTCTGAATAGAAAAGAAGTTACGAGCGACGGGTCAGGGAGAACGAGCACGTTGTTCCCATCAGCATGTGCAGCAATGTATTGTATTACGATGGAGGATAAACTCAGACTTCCGGTGAGGGTCTACTTGTATCTTGAATGTTTGATCTATGAAAGACACGGTGTAGCAAGTCGTACAACCCTGCCGTCCAATACCTACCAAGAGCTACTGGCTTTCATATGAACTCTACAAGCCATAACCAGTGACAGATATAATCTCATGGTAGTTTCTATTTCGTAGCGAGTCTGTTCTGAGATGGAAAACCATGGATAGTCGAGGTCAATCCCAATATCACTCGTCTTATTTACGAGTGCACTCCTGTCGCTCATCAAAGGTCTTGCCACCTCAGCAAACCCGCTATCAGTTGGACGCAGACAGAAACTAACCATTTTGTAAATAAAACACGAGCAAGCTTTAGAGCTTGCCATTCCAGGAATTGGGGACTCCCTTTGTAACAAGCCGCCAATGTCAACAGTTCGCTTTACTTCAGCAGTACAAATTGCCAGAATCTATGATTGCGATACATTTTGACTGCTCATGCTATGTACAACACTCTAGTAGTATATCTGTGTCAAATGTACGATGGACAAGAATTTTCACATGGTGTATTCACATGTCACGCTGCCTCTGGTCAATACGTGCGAATTATACGACGACGTCGCATCGATTGCATGGTCAATCACATGTAAATTGGTACGACCACTTGTAGATAGACAACTCTATCCATCTGCAACAAGATATTCTTATCCACCCCCAATGACATCCTCCTCAGGCGGTCTCTATTTGAATACGGTCTCCTTTTCTCAAGGTGTAGGTTTAGGTCCACTTCCGGAGCGTTGTGTAACGACGGGCTCGAAAGGTAAGCAGCTGGAGTAGCCAATAATAAAATACATCAGTTCTGTCATGTCTCAATTCAAATTTTGTTGGCCCATTCGCTTTAAGCGACCTCGAAATGTATGTCAACTGGGCCGCTCACTGGTTCGATGTCTGGCTTCCTCACAAGGTTTCGAGGAAATATTCGGAGAGAGATAGACTAGGTACTTCTATCATGGCAAGTCTCACGTTGCACAGTAACTGACATTTACTTGAATGATATGCTCTCCAATGAATTTCAAGACACTAAGTGGTTCAACCGGGAGAACTCGCCTGAGTACAACACAAGCGGTGATTTGTCCATGGCTGTTCGATTTATCACGAAGTATTTACCCACGACCATCCAAATTTTCGGTCCGGCTCCAGCGTCAGTCATGGACTAAGGTCAAGTATGTGATAAGTTTCAGTCAAAAGGCTAATACCTGGCAGTGGCTCCTTCATTGCTCGAATCATTCATAAGTTTCATTCTAGATCTAACAAGATATCTTCACTCGTCTAGTTCGAGCAAAGAATATACAAGACATTCGCATTGGCCAAGATAATACCACACTGATCCAAATTATAAAACCTCGTAGCAACAATTGTGATGCTTACCTCACGGAAGTTTCCTTCGGTGCTACTCAGATGAGGCCTGCTTATCTCCTCAATGAAGAGAGAACTAGCTACTCCACTGAATGACAAGGAGAAAGGAAAATCATACGACAAAAGTACCAAGATTAAATCAGATGGGCCGTATCATCCACCTCTCAGCACGTCCCGAAGATCTGAGACTCCCAGCACGCAAGATAGGGCTGATATAGGCAGGTACGAAATCGGGATGGATCATGGGCCGAAACCTTGATCTCGAAATTGCCGTGAATACTCCAAAATGCAAAAAGTTGTCAATAAAGATGATAGCCAAGGGTCGAGCGGCAACTTAGTTCCAAAGAAGATGTTGCCAAGATGACGAACGCTTCTTGATAGAGACTGGTGAGAGTTTCTTTGGATATGAAGCAGATGCTACCATTGTGAGATGCAACCTATCGACGTAATTGACGGCGTGGCCGTTAGAGCAAACGATGCAACGGTCTAAGAGCTCATCACTGCTCGGTCCCTGGAGAAGAGTCATCGCAGGGTCTATAACACGTCAATTAAAAGACACCAACCTGATAAAGCAAGGTCAATCGGATCATAACCTCCTCGCTGGAAAGTGCCGTTTGACACTCGCAACTGTGGCTTTCAGCTCAAGGCTACATCGTCATCCCTTGCAATAGTTTCACTAAAAATAAGAGCTTGGGCTTACGTGGCTGCAGCTCGTCAGTCTGCCCTACGCTCTAGACCGTGTCTTTTGCTCAAGGTTCTCAGTAGTGGAAGACGCCGCGATGCAACGTTCCTACACTATCTCTTGGTTAAAAAGAGTTCTCGCATAGCTATTTTGAGCAGCTGGACTCTTGATTGCTTGTTGCGTACCGACACAAAGGTTCGTAGGATAATTGAGTTTATTTGGCGAAATTGAGCTTAGGGTAAGCCACTTTTGAGGATAGTAAGGCTGATATCAGGTGAAGTTGCTAACAAATGCGTACGTGTGCAACCAAATCAGCCAATGTGCAGATCTGATTCAGTTGCTTGTACGATTAAGCATCTGACGTGGAACCCTGAAATGCTTGCTATGACAATCTATCCCAAAAGCCATCAGGCAGCAAAATAATGCATACGCTAAAAATGCCAATATTCAATCGACCAACGAGATCCCGACCCACGTATCTCATGATAATTCTCCATGACTTCACCAAGCCAGAATGAGGTTGCATCGGAGATATGAGAAGCCCCCCGCCAAGCAACAGTTTGTTCTCTTGGCCCAAGGCTGAGAGAACGCCCGGGTTCTGTGTGACAGACCTTGATCTTATCTCGACATTATCTGATACGGATGGGCGAATCATTACCAAGACCGTCAATCTTACATGCATGGAATTCCTTCTAGCCAGCTTCTGGAAATGGGGTTTTGGTGGAGACATGGTCACGAGGCTCTTGTTTTCTCTCTTGGCGGGCAGGATAAACGGTGCCGATGCTTCGGTGCTTCCGATTATGGGGAAACCGGTCTCCACCCGGCGGATGACGGTCCGGGGTTATGTCAGCATCTCGGCCGACCAGTGCCGTCCGTAGGCTCCACATGTTGTCATTGGAATTCCGCTGGATGGGAAGTGAGGGGAGAAGAGATAAGGGGAACCAAGGGATGGACAAAAGTAAGGGACTTGGCTATGGTTGAGCTATTTACTGCTCATCACAATAAATGCCGAATAACTGTATCACGGCAGTGTCTTACTCCCTTATCATGCGACTTTCCGATTGACCCTATCGTAATATTTGTCGTATCACTCGTACTCAGCACTGACTCCTTGTTTACACCTGAATGGCTACCTGCACGACGATCAATGTCAAAGGTGAGCCACAAGGTCGCATCGTATCTTCAATTGGACCCCGCGGAATCCATGAGCTATCCAAACCGGCACGTCATACCCAAGAACAGCCAAGCTAGCCAAGCCTTCGTCTGACTACAGGCATTTTTAGCGTCGCTCCATAGGGCGGCATCTGCTACGTAGCAACTAGGGTTGGCGTGTCTTGGTACAGCTTGGGGTAGATCAGCCGCAGAAGCATTGTTGACAAGAACTTTTATTTAAGGGAGTATTTCCCCCCTTGATGATTCTATCTTATTCTCATCATCATCAATCAGTTCCTTCATAAACAAACAAACTCTCCTTGAACATCTTTTAGATTGCACCAGGAGTGCCTTGAATACAACTACCTTGAAGGTTAATAGACGATACATCTACGATACCTATACCCAGCAGACTAAGACAGTCGAGCAATTACTTCAACTATACACCACATACAACTCTTCAACTTTACAAACATCACAATGACTTTCGGATCCTCTCGCACCAGAACCTCTTCTGAGGAGCAGCGTGGACGAAGCACTGAGCCAATTCCCCTCATGGAGTCTAAGGTATGTGACACTGAACTCAGAATTGGCCTGGACCCCACTAACAAAGCTATTTCAGCAACGAACAGACTCATACTCCAGCGAGTTCTCGACCCAATCTACGGCATCTTCCACAACCAAAGCCTCCCGCTCTTGGTTCAAGGCTGCTCCTCAGCCAGTCAACAATGTTACCTACTGTGGCCGCCATTCAAGCCAGTTCCTCTTTGGCGGCCCTTCTCTGGCTGATCTCGCCCGGGCAATGTTGGGCAAGGATTGAAGTGTCAGCTGTACGAGCACATACGAACAAGAACAAAGAAACCCTGCCCTGCAGCATCACCAGCTCTATAGCATGACCGCCTAATCACGCCAAAGCAACATAACACCTTGTGCTGGTCGTTTCACACTCACTCATCGTCACTGGCTGGTACGGGACGGACACTCTCATTCATTGGGAAGCGTGGCGTCTTTGGTATGGTTAAAGACAATTGTCCATCCAACCAGGCGCAATTAGGGAAACTTTTTTAGGAGTCGGGGTGGGAATGACTGTACCACAAGAGACATGATACCATTTTTGTGTAACAATACCTATTACAATGAGTCCATGAATTCGATACAAATTTTTACAAAATCTGTTAAAACCTGTTTCTAAATTTGGTGTGATGTACAAGAAGAAAACAAAAGTCTGATCAGGCCGTGTTTTCCGTTTCACGAATCGTGAAGATCTTCGCATTCGGAACGATCTTCGCATTGCGTGGCTAGTCTTGGCGATTATGAGCCAAGACCTGGGACGCGTAATGTTTGGCCGAGCATCCGACTACGAGGGTATTCAGGGCCCGGGAATATTACGATTAAAATGTGACTATTCCCGTTGTATTCCTGGAAACACCAGGGTAGGTCGGTTCAACAGCCGAGCAGAGATCTAGACCAAGCTATTTATACGCGGTGTCCAATAGATAAGGGTTGACGTTTCTTACGATCCCCTCATCTCCTGTGTTACGGGTAATTTCTATTTATTCTCTGTCATATGTATGGACTATGGCTCATCATATTTAGATCATAGCTTCAAAGGGGATACCGTGGATCGCCCCTTTGCAATTAAAATAATGTGTCAATGACAATACAGTGCAATAGGTCCAGTAGAATATACCAAGCGCATGGGTTCACGAACTCCAATTTCCATATAATCATTACTCAGTGAAACGCATGTAGCCATAAACCCCTCTCAATAGCTTATCGATGATCATGTGTGATCTATTGTTGTGGTTCGTGAGATCCTAATTGTGTAGTGCTGCCTAAATTGTAAGGCATAAATTTTCCGGGGTAATGCGCATGCACCATGCTGTCAACGTCTTCAGCCCTACAACGATACCGAGCTTTAAATCAAGCTGACTACCGGGAACGAGCTGGGATAGAACGAATTTATATGTGAGCATTTTGGAAAATATGATCAAGAATTGAAAGTGCAGATGGGCTTGAGTAAGGTCAAAAATGCGAGGAAAACGAATTTGAGGCCGAAACTGACCTTATCGACAATAAAAAAGTCCCCAAAGCCATTAAACAAGCCATGTTGAGAATTCGTCGTTTTGTTCTCGTCATGAGAGCTTCGTAGATCAAGCTACAATTAAACTGCGATCACATTGAAATTGGTGGTGACCCACCAATCAGAGACTGGAACCACAACTGCCTGAATGAAAGTGGGTCCACATTGCTAACCTGTCGTTTGGTATCCGTAACTAAACCTTCACTTCACGCGGCAAACCCCCAAATTCCATCCCCTATTTTGACCGCGTTTGCTTTGAATATACCATCAGCATCAGCCAGTTCAATCAGCGACATTACGCGAGTTGGTTGTTTGGCTTGTTTTCTACTTGATGTCTTTGCGCCGATCTTGAGCGCCACAAGCTCAACCGCGACCCAGGCCGCGCCCATGCATGCTTTGACGTGAAATCATATCTAGACGCGCATATAGGTGAGTTTACCCCCCAAAAATTCATCAAAAGGAACGCGACGATTCGATGAATGTAATGCAAGGTCCGCGCTTATGGCTGTGACTGTTGCCACCCTGTTGGCATCCCTTGGTTGACCTCCCTTTGTGTACAGAACCGCCAAGTTCAATTATACCCGTCGCCGATAACGTTCCATCATATTTACGCGCAAACGCCATAACAACCATGGTTAGCAAACGCAAAAGAGTCCTCGAGGACTTTGATCCCAACAAGTCCGATCCCGAAGACGAAAACTTCGACCCTTCGGAAGCTGGACCACCCCGAAAAAGCACAAAGAAGCACTCCCGTTCACGCAGCGGAAAACCCAGTCGCCGACGCAGGAACGGTTACCTGGGTTCGGACATCGATGATGACGAGGATGAAGTCTCTGATAGCAACGAGGACGATTTCCTCGATGACGACGACGAAGAAGAGGATGATGCTGCTCCTGTGAATGCCGCTGGTCGTCGCGCCAGAAAAGCTGCCACGCAGCCCCGCAACTACGCAGAAAGTAGCGAAGAAGAAGCATCAGCTACTGGCGATGAATCTGATAAGCCAGGTGATGAGGATATCAAAGTTGACGACGACGAAGATGTCAAAGAAGACGACGCTGAAGGCGAGCCAGTAGAGGAGCCTGCCAGGTCAACTAGATCCAGGGTTGTCAAGTTGAAACTCACCAACTCCAAGTTGCCTGCACCTCGTAGGACTACTCGAGCTCATACAGAGGAAGCTGAAGAGTTCCTCGAACTTTCCAATTCTGGGAAACACGCCGTCCCGTCACGCGATTCGCGAAGCAGAAGCCCCGAGACATTCGCTCGGAGCACGAGAGCTACCCGTGGGTTTAAGGGCCTCAAGAATGCCCCCGAGACGATTCAAGAGGCTACACAGGAAAGCAGCTTTAAGGAAGTCAGAGAAGCCGACCAGCCCGACGAATTATCTCAAGATCCTGAAGAGATTGAAAAGAAAGAAGTGGCTGATCAAGAAATGCTAGATGCTGCTGATCAGGATGCACCTGGAGAAGATGCGCCTGTGCAGACGGTAGAGGAGGAGGATGATGAGGATGATGTGCCTGTCACTCGCCGAACCCGTGGCTCCCGCGCCAACGCCTCTGCAGTACCGGAAGAAGCTGAGTCGGATGCTGGACCTAGAAAGCCGCGCCGACTAACCCGCAAATCGAGCAAAAAGTCTCAAGAAGTCAGCAGTGACTTCGAACCAGGCGACGAATCTGACGATGCAGAGGGCTCCGGTGCAGAAAAGCCCCTACCTCAAGATGACGACGACGTTGATAGCCCGGTTCCCCGCGGCCGACGTTCCCAACCCGCCAGATCTCGCCGTGGTGGGGACTCTGGAGACGATGAACCCGAATTTGACTTGGACGAGCTGAATGAAGAGGCACGAGAACTTAGGCAGGACTCGCGCTCTCGTCGCCGTCGCCCGAGGAAAGAATCACCCATTGTGTACCAGGAAAGCACTCGGCGAGCGAGAACACGCGTGAATTATTACATGCCTCCTCTCACCTCGGCTAATATTGAAGAGGAAGAAGTTGAGGCTCCTGCTGCACAATCGCGCTCGCGCCGAGGACGTGGCGGTGCCAGTCAAGGCTGGGAACGCAGCCTCAACACCACATTTGGACCTTTTGGGGGCGGCGGTGGAGCTGGATCCCTTCTTAATGGGCCTTGGGGTACTGGCGCAGCTGGCGGGGTCGATTCAGACAGCAGCGACGATGAGATGGTGCATCGCTCTAGTGTAGCTGGTAATGTCGGTATGACACCGACAGCTGCGACTCACGGTGGGCTTCTTCCCGGTGTCCCTGGCCTAAACCCCGATGCTGGCGCTCCCAACGTTGGCAAGATCAAGGACCGCAAAGCCCTTGCGGATGCTGACCCTCTTGGTGTTGACCTGAACGTTGACTTCAGCAAGGTTGGTGGTCTTCAGGGACATATCGACCAGTTGAAGGAAATGGTGCAGCTTCCTTTGCTCTACCCCGAGCTCTTCACACGATTCCACGTCACTCCACCTCGTGGTGTTTTGTTCCATGGTCCTCCTGGAACAGGTAAAACGCTGCTTGCTCGTGCTCTGGCCAACTCAGTTGGCTCCGGCGGTCGTAAGATCTCATTCTACATGCGTAAGGGTGCCGATGCCCTGAGCAAGTGGGTGGGTGAAGCCGAGAAACAGCTTCGATTGCTCTTCGAGGAAGCGCGCAGAACTCAGCCCAGTATCATTTTCTTCGATGAGATTGACGGTCTTGCGCCGGTTCGTTCCAGCAAGCAGGAACAGATCCATGCTTCCATTGTCTCAACCCTGTTGGCATTGATGGATGGCATGGACGGTCGTGGTCAAGTCATTGTTATTGGAGCCACCAATCGACCTGACAATATCGACCCTGCTCTTCGTCGACCTGGTCGATTCGACCGAGAGTTTTACTTTCCGTTGCCTGATATCGAAGGGCGAAAGTCAATTCTCAACATTCACACAGCAGACTGGGGACTATCAGAGAAGTTCAAAGATTCCCTAGCCGAGAACACAAAGGGCTATGGTGGTGCTGATTTACGAGCTCTCTGTACTGAAGCAGCTCTCAATGCCATTCAGCGAACCTATCCCCAAATTTACGCCTCCAAGGAAAAGCTTGTGGTCGACCCCGAGAAGATTGGCGTTCATGCCACTGACTTTATGCTGTCTATTAAGAAGCTTATTCCCTCCTCTGAACGATCAGCGACATCTGGCGCTAAACCACTTCCCAAATCGATAGAGCCGCTACTACGCAAACAGTTTAACGAAGCCAAGAATGCCCTTGATGACCTGTTGCCTCGCAGGAAGAAGATGACAGCTCTTCAAGAAGCCATGTACGAGCAGTTCGATGACGATGATCATGGCTTTGGTAGAGAAACCATGCACCAAGAGTTTGAACGATCCAGAGTGTTCCGCCCTCGCTTCATCATATATGGTGTTAGCGGTATGGGACAGAGTTACATTGCTTCTGCCATTCTTCACCATTTCGAGGGGGTTCATGTTCAGAATTTTGATCTTCCCAGCATCTTGGGTGATGGAAGAGTAAGTTTGTGCACTCACAAGGGAAACTACAGACTAACGTCGGCAGGCTATGGAGCAGGTCATTGTCGGTCTCTTTACGGAAGTCAGGCGACACAAACCTAGCGTTATTTATATCCCTAACATCGAAGCTTGGTATATGGCACTACACAACACTCTTGCTCTTACAACTTTCAAGACTATGTTACGATCTATTCCTCCTACTGATCCAGTTCTTCTTCTCGCGACAGCAGAGGGTGATAGAGAAGAGCTTCCCAGTGAACTCTTCCGCGACTTTTTTGGATTCGCAAAGAAGAACCAAATGAAAATTGAGAAACCTGATCTGGTAAGTAAGACATTTGTGAAATGGGGCTCCTGTGCTAACTTTTGTAGCATTCTCGAATGGAATATTTCAGCACAACGTTGCAATATGTTAAGAAGAAACCCCGCGAGTTCCCCGACCCTGAAAATCGGAAGAAGAGGGTCCTCGAGGAGCTTCCCGTGGCTCCTCCAATTGAACCACCGCCTCCTACCAAGGCTGATATGAAGGCTGCACAGAAGAAAGATCACCAGCTTCTCAATGCTCTCAAGATCCAGCTTCAACCCATTATGGATCAGATCAATCGAAAGTACAAGAAGTTCAGGCAGCCTGTCATCCCTCAAACTCAGATCGACTATCTCTTCGCCGAGTCGGACCCCAATTATGTGCGTCCGGACCTTGAAGCTGGACAACGTCGACCATATGAGATCGTCAAGGACAAGTACGACAACGACGTTCTCAAAGATACCACATCTGGGAAGTGTTATTATAACCTTGAGACAACCACCATCGAGGAGCGCTTGTCAAACGGTTTCTATGCCCGCCCAAAGGACTTTCTCTTCGATATTAAGGCTCTTGCAAAAGACGCCAAAAATATTGGAGATAAGGAGCGAACTCTCAAGGCCAATGAACTCCTCAGCAACGTCGAGGTTGATGTCGCTAGTATCGAAAACCAAACCTCTCAAGTTGACTGGGAGGCGCTGTATAGACGCCAAGTTCAGCGCGCCAAGGATGCTACTGAGAAAGAGAGAAAGCGAAAAGCTATGCAGTCTGTCGTAGACCGTGTGCAATCTGATCTGGGTGGTAATGATAGCGACTCTCAAGGCCCTGTTACTCTGGGAGAAGCCGTGCCAGGATCGAGGACAACTGCCAGGTTCCAAGTTAGAAGCCCACTCTCGAATGGTCATGGCACCTCTGGTCAGGATTCATCACACCCCTTGAGTAATGGCCTCACTCACCCATTGGGAGAAGATGTCCAGATGAGTGGTGTCCACGATGATACGCAGGCTATGTCTGACATGGGGCCTCCACCAAAGTCTCATGACCCCAGCGTGGCTCATACTGGCATGACCCAGATCTCACAGAAGTCAGTAGTGACTACTCTCCCTCCAGGAGTTTCACCATCAGCTGTTATCAACGAGGCTTCAACAACCAAAACCTCAGATCCATCAACTCACCATTCGTCAAACTTTAGTCAAATGACAAATGGTGGCCACGCTGAGAACCGAGGTGTTGAGGATGATAGCCAGGTCGACATCCCAGACACGCTACTCGTAGCCGGGCACAACACTTCTGGAGAAGACTCTTGGTTGCACTCTCAAGCTCAGGCTGCTGCGGCAGGGGGTAACCTTATGCAAGGATCGGGCATCTCTGGTAGTCCACCTTCGCAGCGATCATCCGGTTTCAAGGCTCAGAGTGTGGGCGGAATGGCCAACATCCTCAATGATCAGACTTCTGATGAATACCAGTCGGTTCGAAACTCAGGTTCATCCACTTCCGCTTCTCAACCTTTCGCTGGAGGCGAGATAGATGCATTCCTTCAGAACCTAACGGACGCGACAAGCGGCTGTACTATTGAGCAGCTTGAACAAATCAACCGTGAGCTCATGGACGCTATATGGCGCACAAGAAATGAGTGGAACCGCAGCAGAGTCGTTGACCAAATCATGCACGTGTTCAACAGTGTAATGGAGGACATTGATGGCATGCAAGGAGTGGGACCAGGTAGCCAAATCCCCTATTGATGGCTGGCGCACCATAAAATCTCGGGAGATATGTGTTTTTGTAAAATGGCAGGGAAAGGAAAGGAAAGGAATGGAAAGGAGGGGTTTCAAAGAGTCGGGTGTACGTTTGTAATCATGTCTAGGAGTTTGGTGAACGCAGCTTCCATGGCCAAGGAGGTATTAGATGTGTGTTCTAGAGGATATCATGGCTGCGCAGGTTCATTTTTTCCGTGTTATTAGCTACCTGTACAACGGTCTCTTTTTTCCTACATATATTGAAACAATAGCGATCTTCAATAATTTTATAGCTTGGATTTATCCTTTGTGCTGTCGTACCGTTTGCCCTCGTCTGCTTGCTCTGCTACGGTCAAGTCTGGGAGACTTTGGGGCATGATCCTCCGTGGTGAGGCACCTGAAATAACATTGTATTTGGAAAAGTCGGTTATTCCTGCATGTTCGCGAAGGAAGTCTTCATCCAGGAGGAGCTCGCCGTTCACGACGCTTGGATAAGCTTTGAGAATCTCGAGGATAGCGTCGGAGAAGATGGTTGCCTTTCGTAAATCGTTGGCTTCCTCTGGGTTTTTGGCTGTGAATTTCTCTGTAGCCGCCGACTCGATAGCCTAATATGTCAGTTGTCAAAGCAAGCTCAAGGTATCAGATCCAACATACCACAGCTGGCCAAATAGATGTGATAGCCATATCCTTCTTCCCCTCGCGCTCAAAGTCCATGGCAAGACCCTTTGTAAGAACACTCATACCAACCTTGCCCATAGCATATGCAGTCTTGCCGCGGAAGAAACGACTATAGATAGGTGGGCTGACAACAACTATTCGGCCTGAAGAAGAAATATGAGGAAGAACAGCTTGAACCGTTGCGTAGAGTCCTTCTGGATTGACGCGCTGCATGAGCTGGAAGCGCTTTACGGGAGTCGACGAGACAGGAGCCCAGAAGATGGCGCCTGAGTTGTAGATGAGAACATCTAGACGGCCATAAGTCTGGGATTGTTAGTAAGGAGATTCAGAAGGAAGAGCAATTTGGTAAACTCACGGAGATAGTATTCGATACAAGAGCATCTATACTCTCAGGATAGCGGACGTCGACCTGAATAGCAGTAGCATCGCCTCCCTCAGAAGTAATCTCGCGAGCAACTGTTGTGATGGTAGAAGCGGAAGAGTTGGGATTTGGAGGAAAGGGCTCTGGTAGATTGGAAAGATCACTGATAGTCTTTGCAGCAACAACAACTTTAAAGTGTTAGCTTCATAAGTACAATAAATACAGAGAAGCTTGACATACCAGCGTAGCCATTGCGGGCGAGGTCAACGGCGACTTGACGGCCGATGCCTCTAGATGCGCCTACAACAAGAGCAACAGGTTTCTTAGATACCATTGTGGATAATTGTTTCACCAAGAGATTTGTTACTTGAAACTTTGTATAAATACTGACGATCTGCTTATAGATCAAATGTCCTGAAAGGTGTAAGTCCGATGCACCCCAACCTCCACCTTCCCCGAGCCTCGGCACGGGGAAGTCCCCACACCGACCAGGGGCCGAGATCCGTTTAATAAAGCATCCTGAGGTACGCCTTGGAAAGGTACCTACAAGTACACGTCTCGTCATTTACTCATCGAATAACGTCAAAGAGAAACATTGTGCTAAAAATGGGTGGACGTATCGACTGTTACCTAGACATTGGTAAGTCATCTAATGTCCCTATTTCTTGGGTAGCACTGATATGCAATAGTGTCATTCTACAGTTATGTAGGATATGCGGACTTGAGACAGAACATGAGCAAACTCGCTGCTCATGGAGTGAAAGTGAAGTATGTTAATGCCTATCCATATCTTTGAGAAAATCGCTGACTTTTATAGTTTCATCCCTGTCTTTTTGGGCGGCATTATGCAGACATCAGGTAACTATATTGAACCGAATACCTTGACTTCATCTTACATAGATTAGGAAACCGTCCTCCATGGGTTCTCAAGGCCAAGGGGGAATATCTTGCTAGAGATTCATTCCGCGCTGCTGAGCGTCTTGGGGTTCCCTATCAAGGCTCGCCACCCGATATCGTTGCCATCGCAAAGACCGTGTCACCTCTCCGCGCCCTACACTTTATCAAGGAGAACTACCCAGAGTCAACTTATCTCGCTGCAATCCGATTCCTCTTTCACAAGATATGGCTGCCTCCTCATGTCAATCTTGCCGAGGACGAGAAGCTCATTGCAGCTCTCAAGGAAGCAACGGATGAGCTTGATGGAGGGTCTGGCAAGAAGCTTTTCTCTGATGAAGATGTTGAGAAGATCATGAATGGAAGAGAGATTATGAAGGAGAGGGTCAAAGATCTTACTGGTGAAGCGGTTCAGAAGGGCGCTTTTGGAGCTCCTTGGTTGATTGTGACCCGCGATGATAGCAAGTCCGAGGCTTTCTTTGGAAGTGACAGGTAAGTCGCCAATGCGGCAAAGGAAAGAAAGCAGAAACTGACGTTGCAGATTTAACCATATTTATCGGTTTTTGGGAGTTCCTTTCAAGGATGTTGAGATTTTGCCTCCATCAAAGTTGTGAGGGGAGCCTCACTCGATAAGCTTGGTGGTTAACAGAAAGAAATCATAAGCCTGGAACTGGATTTGTACCAACAATGAAGACGGAATTTATTGCAGATGAAAAGAAACGCGACCTATTACTTCCAAACGTAAGAAAAGTGAAAGACGTAGAATAAATACGCGATATATCGTCATGCCATGTCTCAGGTGTCATTAGTACCATCACCGTCACACAAACCCACTCAGCAACTTAAGACTCATCAAACCTCCAACTCTGACCTCACAGATTCATCATCAACATCTTGAGCAATGCAGTCTCTCGAATTGAATCTCATAGTCGCGGCCACGCGCAACATGGGCATTGGCCTCCATGGAACAATGCCCTGGCAAGGTCTACGCAAAGAAATGAAGTACTTTGCGCGTGTCACAACTCGGGTGCCACCACAGGTATATATTACCCTTACCTTGCTAGCTATACATCGCTGTGTTATCGCTGCATTGAAAAGACCACGAGAGTCATGTACTGACTCGACCAGGCCTCCTCATCGTCTATCAACGCAGTCATCATGGGCCGCAAAACCTGGGACTCAATCCCCACCAAATTCCGGCCTCTGAAAGACCGTCTCAACATTGTCATTTCCCGCTCCGCACCCTCAAGGCTTCCCGGAGAATTTGAGCCCTCTGAACCCGTGAGAGTCCAATCTCTTGAACTTGCTCTTCAATACGCCCGTGCTCATAGCGACGTCGGTCGAATTTTCGTCATCGGTGGTGCGCAGATCTATGACGCCGCTCTCAGACTGCCAGAAGCGCGACGGATCCTTCTCACGAGTATTGAGCGTGATTTTGACTGCGATACTTTCTTTCCTGTCGACTTGAAGGATGGATCGTGGGAGAGAAAGTCTAGAGAGGAGTTGCAGGAGTGGACAGGTGAAGAGATTGAAGAGGGTGGCCAGGAAGAAGCTGGTACAAAGTATGAGTTTCAAATGTGGGAGAAGCATGATTAGTTGACCATACAGAGATAATCACAACAAAAGAACATATATATGAGGTGGAATATCATCAGGGAATTATTCATATACAACCGTCATGCCTAAGAAGATACCCTCATCCAATGCCCTATTCATACAGCCCGCCCGTTCTATTTTTTTTTGTCATGTAACCCATACATCCATCTGATAGTACAAATCTTCCTTCCGCGCTCTAGTTCGCTGAAGCCTTGGCTGTCTCCTCTGTTGATACAGGCTCCTCCTTCACCTCCTTAGCAGGAAGACCATCCTCCTGCTGTCCACCAAGTTGCTTCTCCAATCTCGTCCAGAACACATCCACCGGCTTGGCCATAATCGCCGGTAATTGCGCAGGAAGGTTATTATCCGAAACAGCCTCGAACTGCAACAGTGTCGATCTCATCCAGCCCACGATAGCAAGAAGAGCTCTGGGGTCCGCATCAGCAGAACCCTTGAACAGGTTTCGCCAGATGGCACTTGCTAGCATCGCATCGCCCTTGATGAGACCCTCGTCGTATGCTAGCAGAAGACCGCGCCACTGAACGAAAATGTCCTTGAGGTATCGCTGGCGGAGGGCGCTCGATGTGATGTGGTGATCGATGTGCATCTTCTTCTCGCACTCGAAGAAGAAGTGGTCTGTGAGCTGGTGCTGCCAGTTTTGGAAGCTCTCGCGGTCGAAGCAGCGTATTCGGGTGTTGATTAGGTAGAGGTGAAGCATGGTTACGTGGGACCAGGTGCTGAAGGTTGGAGGAAGTTTAAAGGCTGTGAAAGTTAGCATGGGACGATTCTTTGAGGTTGTTGAGAGACGTGCTGTGATGCCAGGGACTATCAGGGTTCAGAGAGTGTCCAATCTCTTCACCATCCTCCGCAAGCTGCACCTGATCATCTTTTCTCTCCTTCTCAGTGATATGATAATCCGCCGCCTTCGCTGAAGCCTTGAAAAGCTGCTCCGTCGCACCCAACACACGATACGGCTCCGCCATAGACTTTCCGATACCCTTGAGGAGACTTCTCGAGCTCGTGTTGCTAAAGTGTCGTCGAGTAACAACCGCAGCGGGTGGAAGGAAATTCCTCGTCGTCGGTGCAGCGGCTCGTGATGCGCCGGCTCGCATTGCAGCCCGGAGGACGGTCCGGGCCTGGGTTCGACATGTCTCGCAGGCCATGCTCATCGTGAGAGTATGTTCAATAGGGAGATTTGGCGTGAAGGGCCTGGGCAAGGCGGGATGAGAGGCACTTGGAGTGTTATCGTCATGGACCCTTGGATCCTAAGCTAGTAAGTTGAATCTGAAATTTTGTGACTGGTTCGGCTCTCGGTAATATGGTGCGAAGTGCACTGTATTTACTGTGCTACATATCAATCAAGCCGTTACTGAGAAGAAAGAGGAATTTGATCAGCAGAAATACAATAGTATACAGCTATTTTGCATCTTAACATTTTACGATAACATCATTGATATCTGGAAAATACCAATGAGCTGTTTGTACCGCCAAAGCCAAAGCTATTGGATACAGCTACACCAACTGTCTTCTCTTGTGCTTCATTTGGCACAAAATTAAAGGCAGCTCCCACGTCTGGCTTCTGGAGGTTTAATGTTGCGGGTACGACTCCCTGGAAATAATCAGTAAATGCGTCTTTACGGCTTTGGAAGCTACATACCTCATGAATGGCTAGGATGCAAAATAAAGCCTCAATAGCTCCAGCAGCACCCAGCAAATGTCCGACTGCGCCCTTGGTGCTGCTGACTGTGACATCCGACTCTTTCTGATGTCCCTCTTCGCCCAGCATGATCCGTTTGATGGCCGACGTTTCCGCTACATCGCCAACATGAGTTGCTGTTGCGTGTGCGTTGATGTAGTCGACCTGTGAAGGCTTGATGCCTGCACTTTTGAGTGCTTTCTTCATAGCAAGATATGCACCATGGCCATCTTCCCGCGGTGCTGTCATATGGTGAGCATCACCGCTGCAGCCGTAGCCCTTGATTTCAGCATATATATGGGCTCCCCGTGCTTTGGCGTGCTCTAATTCTTCAAGAACCACCACCGCAGCACCTTCAGAAACAACGAAGCCATTGCGGTCAGCATCAAACGGACGACAGCTTGCTGTGGGATTGTCGTTATATGCTGTGGACAGAGATCTTGCTCTGCCGAAGCCAGCGAAAGTCAAGGGATGGATACATGATTCTGAACCTCCGGCGACCATCACATCGGCGTCTCCCATGGTGATAAATCGTGCTGCATCTCCGATTGAGTGTGCACCAGTCGTGCAAGCCGTGGTAGCTGTGTGGTTGGGGCCCTGGAAGCCGTATTTCATGGCCACATGGCCGGCGGCCATATTAATAAGAATCTTGGGAACAAATAACGGAGACACCTTCTTGTAGCCCTGCCACATATTTAGCATAGGTTCGACAATAACTGAATGGCTTCTCACGTCTTGATGATGCACTAAACTGGTCTCGTAAATCTCGTCTAGATTTCCAATACCGCTTCCAAGGCATACACCGGTGGCCTCCTGCTGCTCTGCGCTCTTCGGCTCCCACCCTGAGTCCCTGAGAGCCATGTCGCTAGCTGCGATGGCATATTGTGTAAATTTTGACATTCGTCTTTGCTCATTTGCATTGACCCAGTCTGATGCCCTCCATCGTCCTTCTCCATCACCACTGGGCACTAACCCAGAGACTGTGCTCGTCAACTCTTTCCATCGTGCCTGAGGCTCGAGATCTGCGACGCTGACGATTCCGCATTCGTTGTTAATAAGACGAGTCCATGTTCGCCTTACGCCAACTCCCAAGGGCGTGATGGCTCCAAGGCCTGTCACTACGACGCGACGCATCATAAACCCATTCCGAGTAGCAGGTCCAGAATGAGAGTCACAAGGTAACAGTTGAATCGGATAGAAATCTTGATACAAATCAAGTGAATTTATACAGGTCCAAGTGATTACAGTGGAGCTGATGTTGTATAAAATCGATGGATTATTCAAAGTGGAATTTCCGTGTCAGGCTTAGTGCCATCTTGATACAGGGGCATGTCTGAGGTACCTCTCACAAGTTCAACGGGAATCCTCCCGAACCTTATCTTGAACAACATCCTCCTGAGTAAATCTCTACCCATTTCGGGTTATTTGGAGGATTTGTTCCTTTGATTATTTGATGCTGAACCAACAGCTTATATTGTTGTCAATTATTGTTTGCGGACAGGCATATATATGTCAAGACCTGAGCCTCAATAGACGCCACAAAGTACAAACAAAAGGACAGTTCCCTCACATAACGACACGACTTCAACGACACCTCGAGTCTCAAGCATTCAAAAACTCTTTATTCAGCTCAGAGACGTCCTTCTTTTGTAAAACTAAGAAAAAATACATGTCCTAGCTCGATCTCAACCACGTCCGTTCTCTGTCTAGGGCTTGAGGCCACCCTCACCTCAGACTGCGTGTCCTATACCGGATGAGATGCAAATCGATTTCACTCTATAAAGTGAGTTCATACTAAGAAGGGCAATGCCTTTGAGATTCTAATGTCGCATCCAGGGTCTCTAAATCGTCCAAAGAACTAGATGAGCTGCAAATCACTATAGCCCACTTTCCGATAACCCTGGATGAGAACAGCCAAATCTCACAATGCCAAAAAGCAAGAAGCTAGGGTCGGTATTGCCAGCCGAAGCCGTCGGCCAAAGTATAGGAGGTCCTAGTGGACGCTTATCCACGTCTCTTGAGATTGAGGACTCATCAAATGAGAACCTCAAGCATCGCCTCCATGAGTGGGCAGCCTCTGGAGCACGCAACGACGATGAAGCAGGTTCGGAATATGAGATGCTTATGGACCCGAATCTACCTCAGGAGTATGAGACACGACGAAAGGGTTCAGGAGAGTCTGGTGATGAAACAGCGCTGCTCAGCGATGATGCAGATGACGAAGAGGAAGAAAACTCCCCTTATCCTGAAGTTCGAGCTGCGGTAAGAAACTTCGACGAAGATCTTCCATGCAACACAGTTAGAGCTTGGACTATAGGAATGCTTCTCGTCATTGTAGGGGCTTCGATGAACACCCTATTCTCTCTCCGCCAACCATCCATCAGTATTGGGCCTCTCATCGCTCAAATCGTTGCGTGGCCTATGGGTCATGGCTGGGCGAAGTTCGTGCCCGACAGGGAGTTCACCACTTTTGGTATAACGTGGACTCTGAACCCTGGTCCCTTTAATGTTAAGGAACACGCAATTATCGTTGTCATGGCCAGTGTGTCATTCTCTGTTGCGTATGCTACCGATATCATCCTTGCACAGGTCATCTTCTACAAGCAGGACTTTGGTCTTGTGTTCCAGCTTCTCCTGACTATCTCCACGCAGTCTGTGGGATATGGCATTGCAGGGATGCTACGCAAGTTCTTAGGCAAGTTGTCACTATGTCACAATGGTCCTTCAACTAACCCTAGAAGTCTATCCCGCATCCATGATCTGGCCCGAGAATCTTGTTGGTGTAACTCTTATGAATGCCATGTACGAGACAAACGATACACCAGATCCTACCATTCTAGGAGGCAGAATGCACAGATACAAGTGGTTCGTCATTGTAACTGCATGTTCCTTCGTATACTACTTCATTCCAGGATTTCTGGCGCAATTTCTGAGTATCTTTGCTGTGGCCACCTGGATGGCGCCTCAGAATCCTATTGTGAATCAGCTATTCGGAGGGCAGACAGGTGTTTCGCTTCTTCCCATCACCTTTGACTGGACTCAAATAGCAGGATACGTTGGCTCGCCGCTCATTCCGCCGTGGTATGTCTGACGGAAACTCTTGATAGGTGTAGCTAATCATGAAAAGGCACGCCATCGCCAATACCGTCATCGGAGTTGTTCTCTTCTTCGTTATAGGATCATCTTTTCTTCACTATGGCGGAGCGTGGTACGCTGAGTATTTGCCCATGAGTGACTCCGGAACTTACGACAACACGGGGGCTCGCTACAACACCACTCGAATTCTCACGAAGGACTTCACATTGGATGAAGAAGAGTACAAGAACTACTCACCCCTTTTTATTAGGTATGATAAGTTGTTCATGTAATGATGATCAAGACTAACACGGAAAGCACCACTTTTGCCATCTCTTACGGCTTGTCGTTCGCTGCTATATCGTCACTCGTTGTCTACACCTATCTCCACAACGGAAAGCAGATCTGGCAACAATGGAGAAACAGCACTAACGAGAAGCCTGATATTCACATGAAACTCATGAGAAAGTATAAAGAGGCTCCTACGTGGTGGTATATGTCCCTATTTGCTGTTGTAAGTCATGATGCTGAGCGCCTCTTCTTGTGTAGTTCACTGACAATGAGGTAGATGCTCCTGATTGGGTTCTATACAGTACTGGGCTACCCAACTAATCTCTCCTGGTGGGCTTTCTTACTTGCCATAGCCATCTCTTTTGGGTTTGCTCTGCCTATAGGCATTATCCAAGCTGTTACAAACACTCAAATTGGCTTGAATGTCTTGACAGAGTTCATCTATGGATATCTTCAGCCAGGTCGACCTCTAGCCCTCATGATGTACGTTCGGCCTCCGCCTCAATACTCTTGTGTGCTAACCTACTGTAGCTTCAAAACATATGGATACATCACAATGTAGACACGCCCCTCGAAATTCCGAAAGAGCGAGACTAGCTAACACTCACCCCAGGGCGCAATCACTTCGTTTTGTCTCGGACTTGAAGTTCGGACATTACATGAAAATCCCCCCTCGAACCATGTTCCTGTCTCAAGTCGTCGCCACTACATTCTCGTGCTTCATCCAGATCGTCGTTCTAAACCTGTCCCTGAAAAATATCCCTGACGTCTGCGAGCACCACCAGGTCGATCACTTTACCTGTCCTGGTGGTCGTGTCTTCTTTGCTGGTAAGTCATGCCAAGACTGGGCGTTGTTGTTCTCTGACACATGAGAGTAGCGTCTATCATCTGGGGCCTTCTCGGCCCTGCACGCATGTTCTCCCCTGGTCAGGTATACTCTGGCCTCTTCGTCTTCTTTATCTTGGGTGCCATCACACCAATAGTTATCTATGTCTTAGCCAAACGATGGCCGAGGTCTCCGGTGCGATACCTCATGGCACCCCTCATATTCGGAGGTGCAGGGGCGATCCCGCCTGCAACACCGCTGAATTATCTCTCGTGGGGTATCGTTGGCTTCGTCTTTCAGTTCTGGATCAAGAAGCGCCACTTCAGGTGGTGGACCAGACTCAACTTCCTAACGTCGTCAGCTCTCGATCTAGGTCTCGCCCTAGCGACGTTGTTCATCTTCTTTGCCTTTACGCTGCATGGTGTAGATCCGCCAAGCTGGTGGGGAAACAATATTGTCACTTCGACGATGGATGTCCAGGGGACCGCGATACAAGCTCATGTACCGGAGGGAGGGCGATTCGGGCCCGAGAACTGGTGATGTAAGAGGTGCATATGAGATGAACTATTGTATCTAGAAGTGCATATCTTAGCAAATTTGTTGGTGGCTGATGCATCAGCAGAACCATTTGATGCAACTTAACAGTCAGAGACATATTGACTCTTGATGTTTAGAGTTATCTCAAAGTACTCACTCAACAACCAGTCAGACTCAACGTGGTGCGTGTCACGCAGATGGACAATAAGCCCACCGCCCGCAAAGTCGAGAAACTGAGACATATGCAAGACTGTACGGCATTGCACTGCATTGCATTGCCTGCCGGGAAAAAGTGCCGCAGTATTGCATTTCGTGCGTGCGTTATGTGGCTTGAAGAAGGGATATATCCATGTACCGGGAACCGAAACTAATCCAAACATTTCCTCTCTTGTTACATCGCATGATTCGTTGCGAATACTAGCGAGCAAACCTGCATGCAATTCTGTGCAAGCATGTCATTTTAGCCTAAGGCGGGCATCAAAATGCAGTCTAGAATCGTTGAAGGAATATGATGTATCAAGCAAACAGCATGCAAAAAAAATGTGTTTATGCGCCATGCCATCAATGCAGAAGATTAGTTGAAATAGCGTCTTGGTACTGTATTAACTGCATTGCATACATCTAGAGCTGAACAGCGACCAGTCATTTTTCAACTCACCGGGTTTCACCTTCATGATCGGTATTGGTGGCCGGTGCTGAAGATCATATGCTCTGACTGTTGTTGTTTCTTATCTTTTCTCATGTATCTGATTTGAAGTTAATTGTGCATTAGACTGACTTCCAACATAATCATATACCTAGTACTAAGCAGTTGATGGTACTACAGTGCGATAAAGAAGCAAAATGGTATCTGCTAATACCAAAATCACGGTAACAGAAGTCTCAAACGAAGGGGGACATCACTTCTAACCTATATGTCGCCATTGTATGGGTCAAGAGCGGATTTCAGTTAATGCAGGGCCAGCAGTCGCTGCTTAACGTAGATGTTCTGTGGTGTTGAGTGACATATCAGCTACCCAGGCATGCCTCCAATTGATGTCTATGGCAGATGTTCCTGAAATGCGTCTCAAGAACGCTCTTGTAGTATTAAACTAACTTACCGTGTTTGATATATGCCTCCCAATCCAGCACACTGACAATCCTTCCTCCTACACCAAGTGTTGGGCTCACCCGCTTTTACCGAACTATTTTCATTTGCCTGCCGATACTCTTCTCATCCATAAGGTTCTCCTTTTCTCTCACTTGCTTGGCTGCGTAGAACTATTGTTCCATCCTGCAATTGAACGTTTGGAATGGCCCATTGTATGCCTAGGCTGCCAGGTCACCGAGGACGGCCCAATTTGAACCTTGAAGAAAGGTCAAGGCAGACTAATCCATGTCGATGCTATGATCACTGAATTGTGAACTTTGTGAATACTCAGCAAAAGACTAAGATTGACCCATATTTAAGTCGGTAGGTGAGAACAAGGGCCTTGATGTCAAGGAGCCCTAGTACCCATCGGCTTCTTGTTTGACCATGGCGTGGTTTGCAGTCGCCGACCCGCGACGGCTATCACGTGGGGACACCAAACTATCACGAGGCATTGGATGGAATGGAGAGCGATACTGACTAGGCTCGTAAGTTGTCATCGGCTCGCGTTCAACTTTGTGAGCCTGTCTCCTTGAAGCCTGCCTTATAGCTTTCACTTGTTTTTGGCGTTCGACTTCATGCCGAAACAAGTCCAACTTGGAAGCGAACTGCTCTGCATAAGGGCTCGAGGCGTACCATGTCTTCAAGATGAACATTGCGTCTTTTACCAGCGACAAGTGTTCCTCTCGAGCGTAGATGTCTGCATAAGTACTGCTAAGCAAGACAAGTGCCGCTTCAAATAGTACATAGCTGCGCTTTTGTGAGCGAATACTCAAGGCTGACAATATGCAGCAGACTTACAGAGCAAGGGGGTCAGAACGACACAACAGGTTCGCATGAAACCCCCTTTTCACCATTTCAACCGTTTGAAGCGATTGAGATACGCATCTTTCAGAAAGTCTATTGATTTGTGTCTCGATGCCATCTGAGGCGTTTGTCCCCATAAAGGATAAAAGGAAAAAGGGGCGACAAAGGAGGATATTGGTGTAGAAACCAAGTAAATGCATATGAATTTGAGATACCGTAGGCATTAAGTTGCTTGTCGTAAAGAATTCATCGTTTTGGAAACTGGGGTGAGCTTCTAGGTACCCCAACATCTGATTCGGAACCTCGATCGCGACTTTGTCACATGAATAAATGTTGTTCACGATATGACCAATCATTTTACAAGCATCAATAGGGGGATCGAGCATGTCCCTTTTCGAAACTTTGTTGGGACTGCTTGGTCGGTTGGGTGGTCTAAGGGAGGATTCGGAGTATTCGTTATCAGAGATAGCGAACGGTCTTCCTAACGATGCAGCCAGAAATCTGTCTAGGACAAACAAGCTTCTCCAGACGTTCCGTCGTAGAACTCTGAGTTCCTCGTTGGCGGGGAACTGATTGATCTCAGACTCATGGCCTCGATGAATCCCAAGGGCGTAGGCAACTCGAACGGCTCGACCTGAACCTTTGTTAGCCTCGTTAGTCTGCATGCAAATGTGATGAGACTTGCCGCAATATTCGTACGCAGTATTCCTCATGGAAACAGACAACAAAAAAAAAGACATCAAAGCGAGAGCTTGGAGGGGCCAGAGGACGTCATCATGGTACTGGGACTTTTCGAATGTACGGGTTGGGTGGGCCAGCCCTTCAGCTATGGCAAATAGCTGGTGTTTAAATTCTGGGCTCGGTGAGTGTGCTGAATCACCAGGATCCAAGGCGAGCGCAACTGCTAGAACCAAATAGAAAATGCACCGATCGGGTCCCTGAACCTCATTCGGGTTATTCTGGAATCGATACAAAGTCAAGCTCACCGCTTCTGGGTTGACTATGTCAATGAAGCTCCGTACCTAATGCGAAATCAGTTCCTTTCTTCTCTCTCGAATAAACCAACGACTTACATGGTTGGAATAGAACTCGATCAAACTCGTAGTTGTACTTGGGGGGAGAAAGGACTGCATCCTAGGGGTCACAGGGAGTCTTTCTGGTAGACCACTCCAATTGCTATCTGCTGTGAATTCTGAGGGGCCATCATGTTTCTCGATAGTGTTCCTGATATGGTGCATGAAAGAGTGAGCAGTAGAACGCCCAACAAATGCTAGGGTTATTAGTAACAATTATCAAATCACTCCAGAATAGCAAACGGACTCACAGAGGCGATTCTGGCAATCTAGCAGCATGCAAGTGTGTGCAGGTATCTGGATTTCTTCGCATCTGGGAACTGAAACAAGTCGAAACCTGAAATCAAAGTCTGGAGTGACTGATCTTGTGAGGTTTTCTTGGATAGGTGCATCATGGATGGTATCCGGCACACCGGAAAGTTCAGGGGGGTTAGAACGCTCTCTATAAGCGCTTTGCCTCGATGACGAGCGAGGGGATTCGCTCGATGATACTGAGTCTGTACGACTCCTGTATTCGCAGTCCACTCTTCGTTTTCGACAACACTTGCAAGGACGAAGGCCGTCACACTGTATGATAGAGTCAGTGTTAGTAAATCCTTTTCCATCCAGTTATTTGCGGACCAGGTTGCCTATCTAACAGACTTGATGTTTCAGGTAAGATTCTACAGCGGAGACCATCCAGGAGGAGCTGCTCCATTAGCGAGGCCATGCTTCCTATGACTAGGACATAGGAGTCGCTTGTGGCAAGGAATAAAGGATACCATGAGGTGCGCTGATAGAATGAAAAGAAAGTACATTGGTGAAGACAATTGATTCGGAATTAATTTGGGGGGGGGGGGGGGGTTAAGACTCTGGTTCTTACTCGTTGCTTGCGCTGCCTACATGCGTTACAGGCCTGCGCAACTCGTCTGCGCTTATCTGCTGGGACTCTCAGTCGCGTCATGCCAGATACAACTTTCAAGGCGGTTCGCTTCGAAGATAGTCTTTGTGTCGATGTATGTAGAGGAGATTGTTTTCGCAAAACAGTCCCGTGGTATTGATGTAAGCTGATGCGTGTTGCAAAAGCAACTGGATAGCTGGTGACTCAATAATATCAAGTGTGAGGGTCCTGAAGAAAGAACGAACGATATTTCTTGTTACCTTGTAGCTGAACTGTGCAATTCAGCCAGAAGGGTCTGTGGCAGGCCCTGCCAAGACTGCTCAAGATATACAAAACTGGAAGACAAAGAGGACTCCCGTAACTGCAAGTTCACTCTGGGGAAGTCTTGCTCGGTTGTTGGTCGTCTTGGTCAATATTGGATCCGAAGATGGTGGAGGCCAGGGCTTCATATATAGGACTCTGCCTTGGCAGGAGGCTTCTAAAGAAACAGCCTTGGATTTTACAAATGAGATGCAATGACAATGCAGTAGAGCAATGACACTTAGCATTAACGAGACGGCACAGCGGGACGACAGACACTTTCTACCCATCTTGCCAACGATGGGGACTCAAGGCATCCAACTAGAAGCCGTACCAACAGCTCGGAACCAGGCTGTGTGATGTTATGTGACCAGATGAAAGCAGCGACGCTGATGGGAGAGGTAGAGCAGACAATTGTGGCGTCCCACGGGCGTTCCATGGCGCATGGCCGCAGGAGCTGAGAGGGGTCCTGAGATGTACATAGTAGACACGGAGCGATTGAAAGGCCCTCCTTGTCTTAGTGGTCATCCTGGAATTTCTGGCTGCGAAGTCATATCATTGGCTTCAGGCTGGGGTCGCGAGGTCCTGCAGCAAAGGGGAGGGGCAGATCTGAGACCAGAAGAAGCAAGTATATGCTATTGGAAGGGCCTCCTGGAATGAAATGAACCCTGTCTCTACGATCCTAGTGCGAAAGTCCAATATAATGGCTCCTCTAAGCTCGCGACGCGAGGTAGTTTGAAGTCCTGAGTGGGGGACATGTTGCTCTAGATGATGGATCGATCCTGGGGGTGTGAATTTCTCAATCGGAAATCAGAAAGTCTTGGTATTTCTGTTGGTTGGTTGGTTGGTTGTTTCTCGTATTATGTCAAGTACAGGATTAGTGGTCTTTTCTCTCTCCGGCCAGGTTGTTCATCGTGAAGAGGTTCAACTTGCTGGTCCAGTGAGAGGAAAGAGAGAAGTCTATATTCACTTTGCTTCTTCCACGTGACGACCATTCGCTGCCGGGTAGTCGCTTTGTGTAACTGGCCTTCCTTCATACATGCGGCCCGGGACGCCTTAGTCATCCATCCACTTGCTCATTGAAACTCAAGGCTCAGCCTGGCAAGGATCTCAACATCATCTTCATCTATGAGCATTCCGATCCCGCCTTCTCTTCCCTCACCATGTCTTAGCTTAAGCGTTTCCACGGGTGATTCATCGCCACTGGCATCGGTCGAATGGGCAACTCCAGCCAGTATTAACACGCTTCTGCAGATAGCCGCTTGCTTGTTTTTTCCCTCACCAATCGAGACCTTCACTTGTAACTTTTACAGTGATACTTCTGGAGCCGCGGCACTCTTCAGCTGTTTTCCATGTATCATAACCTTGTCCGCCGACCGGGTTCGCGGATTCTGTCCTATTCCCTGAGACACACCTACAGCCACTTTAGTCAACCAACTCATAGCTTGCAGTCCTAGTCTTGCCTGCTTCCTTCAGTTAAGGCATCACTAATGCAAGTCGACTAGAAAGGTCAGCCCTCTCAGGGAGGCTTTCGACTGTTTCATCCTCCTGCATGAATTGGTGATCACGATTCCTCACGATCTCTTACATTAAAGACACTACTATGGGCTATGACACATCTCACAACAACAATAGCTTCCAGCTGCTAACACACATGACTGATGCATCCAATACACGCAGACATAAGGAGAAGCGTTCACAATTTAGACAACCCAAGTTGCGCCTTGGCATCTCGGCATTTCCCGTCCAACTCCGCAATAAAGTTGAATTAATTTCATGGTCTCGCCTTCAGCCGAATGCCGATCAATTATTAAAGATTGAAGGATGTCTAGGAACTTATGTGGGTTTGCTTGACCTTGCAGACGGGGACTACTTATCCGTTCGATCCAATGCTCCGATGGTGTGGATCAGATCGAAGGGATGTTTGTTGAATACGTTCACTGCAAAGGAGCTCAAGATGAATAGAAATTGTGGGAATGACTGTAAACAACAGTTCGCATCTCTGATATTGTATCTCGAAGCTAGGTACTCCTTTGCTGAAAGACGATGATTTGTTTGAATGTATAGTGAATAAGAAGACAACTACATGGCAGCGATATGAAACAAGGTAGACTGTTGGAGTACCTAGTATAGATGGACTTGTAAACATAATGATGCAATCTCATGGACACATAATTGTCATGCCGTCACACTAGGATACACATCATCAAGGCGACAGAAAGACCCACAACTTTGGTATATACGAGGGTACCAGTTAAGGCAGACGATACCTGATAGTTTTATTTTCGAAGCCTCTCTTTATCCATGGAACTACACAACATGAAAAACACGATATACCAAAACCAAATGGGACAAAGAACCAGTTTATTAGAGATGTGTTTTGACATCAAACATGTTTCATCATTGGATTTGTAGTTCTAGCTATCTGGCAAAACACCACTGAGAAGGCGTAGACATAATACCAAGAGTGCGTTCCAAGCGCAATTACTGGCCATTGTCTATAGCAAAAAAATATCGATATATTACAGGGAATCTTCGTAAGCTCACAACACCAGTCGTCCTGGCTCCTCCTCCAGAATCACCTTGCAACGCTCAAGGAAGATTTGTGCTCTCTCCTCCTCTGCCTTGGGGACCACAAGAGTAAAGACATTGGCGCCGCTGGACAGACCAGGGACTGTCTGGATGGTAGCGGGCTTGGGAGCAGACTTCTTCGGCGCGGCGAGGATGTCAATGATGTCAGTCTGCTTTCGGGTGGGGGAGGGAGGAGTGAGTAGAGAGGTGGGAGGGACAGCAGAGATCTGGGGTAGGTAGACACCGCGAGAACCCTTAGCGGCCTTGATCTTATCGAGGCCGAGAACCTGGTCGAAAAGCTCGTTGGCGGTAGGGGCACGCTTGGTGGGAGGGAGATCGTCGTTGGCAACCTCAGCAGCGCGGCCGACAAAGGTCGAGATGGGCAGGAAGACACCGAGGGTCTCGTGAATCCGGGTTTGGACCTCAACGACCTTGGACAAAGTAATGGGGATGGAAACTTCGAGGTTCTCGACCACGGGGGCCTTAGGAGCCTCAGCCTTAGCCTCCTCGACAGGCTTAGAAGGAGGAGCAGGCTTGGTAGCGACCTTGATGTTGCTGAGGTCGAGGTGGAACAGGTTGTTGAAGTTGACCTCGTTGGCAGCGGGAGTCTCGGGGTTGATGCTTCCAAGGTAGGCAAGGATATCACCCTTGAGCAATCGGCCATGAGGACCAGTGCCCTTGATCTTCTTGACGTCGGCCTCGCTGATGCCCTTCTCCTTGATCAGGTGTCCAACTGAGGGCAGCAGAGGGTACTTGTGTTCGTAGGTATCGTTGCCAGTAGGCTTTGCGCTCTTCTTCTCAACGGGGTTCGACTCGGAGGGGGCGGTGCTCTCCTTGGGGGCCTGGGCGCTGGACTGTTCCTTTGATTGCTCCTTGGCCTGCTCGTCGGCGGGGATCTCGAGGGAGTTGATATCATCGCCGGCCTCAGCAATGACACCAATGCGTGATCCAACCTGAACAGCCTTACTTCCATCACCAGCCATGATCTTGACCATGATACCATCGTCCTGGGCCTCAACATCCATGCTGGCCTTGTCGGTCTCGATCTCGAGCAGCACATCACCGGCACTGAAAGCCTCTCCTTCCTTGACCTTCCATGTAGCAATGTTACCCTCGGTCATAGTGGGCGAGAGGGCGGGCATGGTGAAGTTCTGAGCGGCGAGGCATCGCGTCGAGGTGGTGAAGCCTACAGCAGAAGATGATGTGTTAGTCGGTGCGCGACAAAAGGGTCCGAGGGGCTTCTTCAACATCAGGAAATGGGCAGAACGTACCACGAGCAATAGCGGACCGAGAAGTAACAGCTCGGGCAGATGCCCTGCATGCTGCTGTAAGAGAGGCCATTGCACAGCTCAATTGAGGGTGAAGAAGTCGAGATGAGGCAGTTGAGGGAGATTTTCGGTGCACGTAAGAGCGACCTCGGGGTGTTGAGGGATTGAGCTGTTGAGATATCCTATTAGTGGGTCCGACAGTTTGGAAATTTTTGGCGCGACTTATACAGAAACTTTAACGTTTATTCTTTACTACGATCGCAGAAGACGAATAAAGGCTAGTTATAATTGTCCAGAATCAAGAAGCTCATTATTTCCTTCGAGTAAATGTTTCCTTCACATATTGGTTCTTCTCAAAGCTCATGCCATAATCAAGCCCATCTCAACCGTTGAATTTGGCTATCTCCTCGGGTTGCGGCGAAAAGTTGTCCGATCAGGAACCAACTATTACCGGTTTATTACCGATAAGAATTTCCAAATAGCTTCATTTCTGAAAGTTCAGCCCACTATCATTTAGCAATATCAACTGGATGGCATCACCGAGCAACTAGAAGTATTCCTACCATCCGTGAGATTGCTTGGTGTCGCCTCTCTCACACTCTCCTCCGAGGAGCTCAATTCCCGCAATGGCTGGCCTCGCAAGGGGCTTCTGCCTCCCCGGCCTCCGGCCCCTCCTTGCACCTCGTGCCGAGTCCGTCCTCCTCCGATCCCGTTTCCTCAGTACCTCCGTCCTCCGATTTGCTGGACCTGTTGTGAAAGCAGCTCGAACTCCTACGGCCTCGAGGGCCGCCGCTGCTGCCTCTGCTGCCCAAATGGCACCTAGTCGATACGCCTTCATCAAGAGTCTCGCTTCAAAACCAACCCCAACCGTCCTCTACGAAGGTCCCTCACATTTTTGGTTCTACTTTGGTTGCTGGTCGAGTGGGCTATTTTTACTTGCTTGGACAGGATCTACTACGCATCTGGTAGTACAGCAGCCTGAAGGTGTACCGCAATGGATTGGTATTGTGTTCGGAACAGCATATCTCCTGCTCGCTTCCATGGGAACATTCATGATCGCAAAAACTCCAAACATTGTTGGACAGATCCGCGTTCTTCCTTACCAGGCATCCAAGATCGCTCCCACCACACCATTGCAGTTGGAAATCACTGTTAAGAGAATGGTCCCATTTCTCAAACCCAAGGTCATTGTCGCTCCGGTTAGCGATATTGCTCTCAAGACGCGCTTCTCGCTGCCAGACGAGTATGTGCCTCAACTGAGGCGCATAGAGTTGGAGGCGAAGGCGAAGGAGCAGCAAAAGGCCTTACATGAGTTCGACATGCAGCACATCTTCACAATGCCTTTTCGAAGGATGGGTCGAGCCCTGGCAGCCATGTTTGACGGTGTCAAATCTGCGTGGACTGATATGGGCTTTGGTTTCATCATAGTTGACGGCAAGAACTACAAGGTGGACGTGACCAAGGGCTTTGCTCATGACGGCTTCAGGACGTTAGAGAAGCTTGTGGATATCAAGTCATGAGTCGCCTACCCTGGAGGATCATGGCGACAACCTCAACCAAAACCCATCAAGTTTTATTCAAGAGTTGGGGTTGTCTCATTAGCCTGTACTTTTATTGTATACAATATTTATGAAGAACATCTGATGTATGGGCCGAGCATATCATAGTACTGTATGACACCCTGAAATACCATTGGATCACGATGGAAGCAAGTTTATACAACTCGAGCACTCATGAAAGAGAAATCTTCGCACCTCGTGATAAAATCGGCCGATTTGTCAGGCACACAAACTCCAAGCTGCTCAACAAAGCGGGACTGTTGCAAGAAAGCAACGTTCCTAGTCGCTACAAGGTGTTGCCATATTCAAATCGCTCAATTTGACACTACACTGGCTGAGACCGAGGCGGACAAGAACAAAACACATATATTTGAAGCTGATTGCATTATCACATATCCAGAGTTACACGTGCAGGTACATGCTGCTTCAAAAAAGCAAGTATATAATACAAAACACTGTCGTGTAGGACGAGGCGCAGAAGATGAGATTTGAAGATATCCACATGCCGTTTTGGAAGGTCCATGGAACACTCCTTGTCAGCGAGTGACATTCTGATATCTGTCTTCCCTCATGATATCCGAGACTTGTAAATCGACTTGCAATGAACCTCGATCAGACACCGCCAGGAGGGTTGTGCTAGTTGAAGTCGACATGCAAATACTTTTGAATGCAGGGAACTCGACAGTACGAGAGATCACCTCAAACTTGACGCCGGCACTGACGTCTGCCTGTCAAATTCCCCCACAAGAAGATAGCCAGCACATAACCCAGGGACCATTCACGATCTTCGGAGTGTATTTCTAGATGGAAAAGCCCTCAAACCAGACCTTGCACGTAAGCTAGAGGCTTCTGCCGGATTCATGTGTGTAAGCTAGGCGCGTATGCACACCATAGACAAGCGACTTGGAAGAGGGACTCTGGGTCTCAGCGGATCGGATACAACCCAGTTTCGAGAATATCGTGGAGTTGGAACATTCCCCATGGGTCTCTAAAACCTGGAACAAGACGAGAAACTTACCCCTCCAAATCAATGTCGTCCAATCTCATGGTAAGCGGTCAGCCAGCCTCAGCTTTGATAGAAACGAGGCTATCCTTGACATAGCCACAAGCGCCAGATGCACCATATTCGAGATCCACCGACGTGCGCAGGCGGGGGCCTGGCGGGGTCGTTCCTTTACATAAGGTATTTGCTTTGTCTAGAGTATTTTCAAAGTTCAACAGGCGATGAATATCACTCGATTTTGACTGTAGATCATGCCATAGCAGTTTCCGTCGCGCATCTTTTCTTTGGATAAGACGATGTTTCATGACACTGCTAGACCGTGAGATCAGCAGTCGATCCCCTGTATATCAGGGTCCGATCTATCAGGGAGTGCGAGTTAGAGTTCGAGTTGCACTGACGCTCTTAATCCTCGCTCTGGACCCTGAAGAATAAAGCCGACGTCTAACTGCCGATGCATCAGCCCAATATCAGCATCCAGGCTTGTCAACAACATCTGCTTGACGTCATAAAGCCAAGGACTCTCTGGTTGGGTCAGCTTGGATGTGGGTTACGGTGAGGTTGAAGCGTCCCACTACTGGCACCAGAGGCAGAACGAGACGAGGGGACCCTTGTTCTTTAGCGCGTTAAATGATGCGGGCGATAATCTTGGAAACTTTTTTTTTTTTTTTGTCGAGATGAAGATCAGTCCCAAATCTGGACTCCAACTTGGAGGCTTTGTCCTCTACATGAAGGGGTCCATTGGTGCCCGCCACCAAACGTCTGACAGTTTTGACTAATATGAGATTCCGTGAACTAAAGGAGCCACAGAAGGGCCGTGCCATCCATCTTCTCGTGGTGTAAGCGGTACACTGAGCATTTCGATGCCGCAACTCCATATCCGATGCTCGGTTTTGTAACTCGGGATAAATCGCGGACAACCGACTTGAATTAACTAACCTTGATAAAAGTTGATGGTTATCTCTCGTTGCACAAACTATGTATGGGCATGCCTTGGCTCGATATCAGAAAGCCCCGTAGTCTTCGACGACAGTGACCCGCACTAAATGGAACATGCTCGCCGCCCATCTTCTTTGTCTTTCAGTTACAGGTTGTCATACTATCCATGTAGATGTTTGTTCCAGGCGCTGGTGAAACATGGTCACACGTAATCATCCTCCCTATTGAACCTCTGACGGGACTGAAAAAAGATAGACTAAAGTCATGATATGTGTACAGGCTACCACGCCAGCGGGGCGGCTCAAAGCAAAAGATAAGTAGTCTAAGTAGATAGAACCTGGGATAATTCTATGTACAATCACTAACTTACCCACTACTTGCTTCTGTAAATGCTAGATCTCCAACAAGAAATGTTCTATCATTCGGTGGACAGCGGCCCTTTCGTCATTGAAGCCGGGGCCTTTCCATTGAGATGCAAAGGTGGCATGTCGTCAACGGAGATTGGACAATTCCCCACCAGATCGAGGGGTATAGTGCAGACGTTCTTACAGAGGAGGCTCCGTGTGTTGCTGGATGTGATGACATGTGCCGGAGGTTTCATCTATTCAAGCGATGTCGCTGGAATTGCAACCCCATGCAGCTCATGGAATATGAAAGGAACATAGAAGATGCATCTCATCTTTGCCGCCAAATCAACGTGAGGTTTCTGCAGAACACACTCAGCGAACCAGCAATATTTGAAATGTCGTTCTTCTGGCGTCATGTATGTCATCTTTGAACTCTAGGGGGATGGACATTTGACCCTCGAAGTCGTGGGGGTAGAGCAGCGGTGAGAGAATATGATGGGCGAAGGAAGAAATATCGATCGTTTTAGCACGGTCATCGACCGAGCTGCCACTCTGCCACCCCAAATCAAGAGTGAGGAATGCGAGATTGTGCATCATGTGCTCTCTGTTTCAATCTGGGCATGGTGGTCTCTTTTCCATCATTGGTTGGCTGCCATCCCTTGATTTCTAGAATATCCGCCGGTAGCGCAGAGTCAGACGAGAGGAGGGTGCAAAGTCGCCGATCCAATTACATGGCAAAGAGCACCATCTAATTGATGAGACGCACTGGAGGGACAGAAACTTCTGTTATTTGCCAGAAGAATGATGGATCTCTAACACACACTCTAGATCCTCTGTCCGCTAGCATCTGCGTAGATCGTCTCCAGTCTCCGTAGTGGCGTGTGTTCAACATAAACAAGTTCGAGACAGGCGATATTCATACTATAATGGACCGTTTGTTTCGCCTGTTGATCCCTTGTATGAGCGAGTCGTGACAGAATACACAATCTGAAACCAGTGTGAACTGCTGGGTCCTAGGAATGAGTGAGACAATTCAAGGCCATGCATTGTAAGTTCGAGAATGGCTTCTTTTTCGTCTGCTTCCAAGGACACTAGCTCCACTCGGCCGCGTCCAAGAGCTTAAATATGGAACGTGGCATGAGATGTGATATGAGAAATTTATATCTGACTCACGGTTTAAACTGCTTCCCCAGACTGAGGCTGTATGGAACACGGTTCCTCAAGAATGTCTATCATCGGAAAAAGCAATTTTGAGACAACATGACTCGGACCAACAGCGTATACAGATGGGCTACACCAAAATCATGGTCAGTGCACGATAAGGATATCCTGGCTCTTAGACGCTGAACCCTTGTTTGTGTTGCTGGAGCTTCCTGCCAGAAAGAGAGGAACATCTCCGAAAAGCATTGAGATCTCGGCATGTAGAGTCTGGGGCTTGGTACGGATACTTCACGATTCTTCTCGAAAACATGACCAAGCATGGCCATTTGAGCTGCATTTGACGGCTGCATCCTGCTCAAACACCATCTGTGACCATGACTGCAGAAGGATATTCTCCTGCAGCAGCGGCTTGTATGTCGAACGTTATATGCCCACCCAAGACATATTGCCGAATCGGGCAGGAAGACTGATGTTGACTTGGAATTCAATGGTCTAGACCTTTTCTCTGGCCGTAGACTCATCAGAGCTATCGTCAGGATACCTGAGCCTCGAGATGGGCATAGCTGTTTCGTGGTCTTGTTTGAGTCCCTTTCGACTTTGCTTGTTAGTATTCAATATTCGACCAGTACCTATTGTTACGGGCCGCGTTACGAGCGGCGCAGGATTTACTGGCGTCTTAGCAAACACAGCCATGCCGCCGCAGTTCCACAGAGACTTGGCTTGCGTTTCTTGCGCAACAACACCACATTTGTTCCAGTCTCTGACATCGTAGGGTATCTACAGCTGTAATGGGTATGCCGAACAGAGTAATACATACAGCGAAGATGCACGAGATCGGCCTGTTTAGTTGTGGGTATTATAGGGTTCTTGCAAACTGATACGACAAGAATAAAGCCGACGTAGCGATGATACAACACTGACCACCTCTTTTATTGTAGTTACGGCGATGCTCGTTAGCTTTGAATTTGTCTTGGCAAGTGTTGAGATTGTTTAAAGATCATCGTGAGTTTGAGCATTTTGAAATGGTTCAGCGGAGCGGGATGAGCATCCACTAACGGGCAGGGATAAAGAGAGCTAGCTCAACAGCCTGCAGGCCATAAGTATCCGCTACCTAACATCGGGAGTGGAACTTCGACCAGGTACTCTCGACGCCCTTCAAGCAAGATGACATTCGACTCCCAATCATAGAATAATGTTAATGAGCTTTAGTGGAGGTATGACATAACCGCAGCGAAAACGCCAAGAGGATATGAAATGGCCAGAGGCTCCGCAAAGTTCACAGGCGCAGTAGAGATACAGAGGCGAGGATACCTAGTCATGATGGACCATAACCTCGACAGATCAAACGCAAATGAAGAGAAACAAGGGGTGTTTTGGCGGAAGAGGAACCGTGTTGACAGAGAGAAAGCGTTCGTTCCCACATGCTTAAACCTCATGACGGAGATGCGCGTGGTAGAAGCATAAGATATTGAGGGAACTGTCCAGAAAGTAGTCGGAGGTCTCGTGGTAGCGAATACCTGTGCTGCGTGACGGCCGTGTCTTAGATGTGCCATCGATAGTCGTGACAGCCATCTGACCGTGACGCGTCGGGTTGCAGGTGGATTCGGTATTGATGTTGCGTGTGATGGTGCTGCTGATAGCTACTGAATCAAGAAATGATGAAGCCATGGAATGGGTCGAGTCGCTTGGTGGTGTGGGTGGTTGATCATGGTGGTGTTCCGGTGTTTGAAGTTGACAGCATTTAACGGTTGACTAGTCATTGCGATATTCACTATTATTATGAACGATATGTTGTTCCTTTGTATGTATTCACAGCAGTAATGTAAAAGTCACATCCGCCAGCAATATTGCTTGTTGCAACAGCGGCCCTGTATATATCGGGACTTTCGCTTAAGGAGCCCGGCAGACATGGAGATATTTTAACATGATGTGCGATGTCTTGTATCACATCAGGGCCGTCATCGACCGGACAAGAGAGAAACATGCGAATCAGTGTAATCAGGCGCTGCATGTCATTCTTCTCCAGATGCTCGATGCATCATCTCTATCAAATGCCGGCGCTCCACTAGCAGGGAATCCCAAAATTTCGGTTGTCAAGTAACCATGCTGCCATGTTGCAAAGAGAAAACGAAATGTGCCATTTTCCTGTTATAGCAACGCCAGTAGTGTATTGCGAACTTTCTGTCCATCTTGCGGATTTCTCATCTCTTTCTCGAGTAATACTATGTATGTCAATTTGAGGGCGCCGCCGATATGAACACCAGCTGTGCTGGAGGACGGCGTGCCCGTCACTAAGTAAACAAACAACGAAAACAACGCAAAATTATGGTGTTGATGAGCTTGGTCATCAATGCCCATGACCATGGTCCGTGAGACATTGGTCTTTGGTATGGAACGCTGGGCACAGGCAGTGGCTGATGCTCGTGCACGTACTCGATCCTTATACTGACCGTACTGGCCAGTGTCCCTCTTGTATCGTCGTAATATTATCATGGTGGTTTGTTTACTGCTGAAGGGATTCAAGCCTGGACTGGTCCGGGCGGGCTGTTGGAAATGAAGGTCCAGCACTACGGGCCCATCAGGGACTGGAGTTCCGACACTGCAACGTCCCTAGCCTCCCCTAAAGGAAATAAGCGGCTTGCGACTATCGCTGAAATGGTTATTTCAGCGGAACGGTTATCACCAATCTCAAGCGCAGCACTCGGATTCTCGCTTGTGACTCGTCCGAGTCCCTTGCCTCTAGCCATGTCCTCCCTATCCTGGTCAAACGCCAAGCACCCCCACCAACGATAACCCCACTAAGACCTCCGAAGACTTGGCGGCGCGGCTCGGTGATGCGTGCTGTCTTCTGTCATTCACCACAAGATATCATGAGCTCGCGGCGTGCCCAGTACAACATCAAACTGACAGTCCTTATCCAGCCATGTTCTTCAGCCACTCCTGAACCTCAGTTAGAGTAAGGTATCAGATGGTCTGATGTACCGAGGGGAGGCTTCAATGATCTCTTGCTCAGCTCTTCTTAAAACATTAACCCCCAAATACGAAGGTGGCGGGGTTGAGTCAGACTTGAGGCCAGTCTCGCATTGTTGAAGATTGAACATGCTGTCATTTGATGCGTGTGAAGTCGGCCATGATATAAGTATGAGTCTTTCAGCTTGACCGACTTTGGCGACGAAGCCTGTCAAGTATGAGAGAGGCGAATATGCGGAGTTGAGGTCAGTGAACGCAAAATCCCTGACGAAAAAAGTGATGAAGTTGATATGTGGTGGCACAGGGAACGGATTGGCTGAAAAGACCATTATAGACAGGCGAAAGGCTCTAAAGGCACGGACGGTGAGTGAAGATTGATGCGAGTGAAGCTAAGCAGGGTGTTGCAGAGGCAAGCCACGGCCGTTTTTTAGTCGATGTCGTTATCGTCGTTGTCATTGTAACCGGTATTATTTTCTCCATTTCAACCGCTGCCGTATCCTTAGACTTAAATGCACAAAATCGATCGCTGATGACCTCACCTGCCAGCGCGTGCTGCGACTATGCCTGTGAAGAATGCATTCCCTCTATGAATCTGCAAGAGACTGAGGTGCCAGTCCGCTGCGTGTTGGAAACATTTCAGGAACTGCTACTGGGCGATTCTTTGCTGAATGTGAATCCCTCGTCGCTGGCCTGGACCCTCGCTGGGATAAGTTGCAGAAGATCCATTCAAGGGTCCACCTCAATGGTCCACATCAACCAAAGAGGTCGCAATGTACAAGATACTTGCGCCCCTTGAACCAGTCAGCCGCCGTACGAGCCAGCCAGGGTACCAACCAGGGTGGTTAGAGGACAAACCCATCCTGCGAGAGGGTGTCCTGACTCCTGGGGTGGTGGAGGAAGGGTGTGCTGTGCTGCCCGCTGTACGTAGTATGTCCATCTGCTCCGCTATCAACGCTACGGAGAGTGAACCTGTGAGGTGAGGTGAGCGTGAGCCTCCCGTCGTGATGGAAATTGAAAACCCGGCCCCGTTCAATTGGCAACGAAAATCAGTGGGCGGGCGAGGTCGTGAGGACGAGATTCCCATCTGATACCCCTGTCGTTAGTTTCTATGGGTCTCTTCGCAGCACCCACACTTCACACTTACAAGGTACTTAGTTCCTAGACTCCCCTTCGTCTGCTTCTCCTCTTACTTTCTTGGGTTCACGTCGACTTCCTTCCTCTACAACCTCGACCATTTCGTCGGTCCTTCGAATCCTCGAAGGTTATCGGACTCGCACTTGGATATCTCGAGTCGTAATAATCACACTGTGTTTTTGGGTCGCCGAATTCCATTTCAACTGCTGCTGCTGCTGTGCTTGCGGCCGGTTCTCCTACATCAAACGAGGTGAGTACATGATGCTCCTGTGCCGGTTTTTTATTTTTGATCGCATTCCCATTGTGCCGATATTTGCATCTTGATTTCGCTCAGCGTTGTTTTGCGTTTGAATTCTCCTGCTGTTCTGCGACAGTGATGGAGAGGAAAACGTGACGGTGATGAAAATGCGTCGCGGTTGCCTATCTTTCTCTGCATCACCCCGACTGCAACTGCCTGAGACAACAACCACTCCATCCATATTTGCATGGAACCTTCCACCTGTTTGGCCCCTTCTGCACGCTTGCATCTACATCGATCCGCGCTTTCCAGTGCCTTGCTACAATTTAGCGACAAAACTCTGTGTCTTCAGCCAAATCGATTCTATAATCGCTCCTTTAGCCGTCATCTTCCGCCTCATTGCGTGATTACTGCCACCAGCGATTTCTCAAATGCGTGTGACCATCCAGACTGCGATCGTGATCACGCCTGGCATTGCTACCTACGACGAGTGAAGAACGCGGCTGTGCTCAATCATCATTTGGCCTTCATGCTAAACACAAACCTCATTTCTCCTTTACGCCACTGGTAGTTGTCTACCTGCTCGCCTACGTTTCACTTCGAATACTCGAGAGAAAAGACTGGCATTGTGTTCCATTCGCTTCGCATCTGCTTTGCATTTTGTACTTGGCCAACTTTTCAAGCCTGACAAGTCACTAACTCGTTCGTGAAATAGGTCGACATTACAACCCCTCGATATAATAGAAGCGGTGCCTTTCCCATTCGTCATCGCTGATTCCACTCCTTCGTCCTCCGAACCACATATCCTTATCTTTCTCGGGTCGAATCCCCTTTCATGTGGTGTGGGCAATAATTATGGATTCAGAAGACGGAGAACTGTTCATAAAGGTGTGCATTCAGCATGATTGGCATTTTTGTTGATCACGTTAACTGACAGGTAATGATAGCAACTTGCCGGCTATGTTCGGACGCACGAGAAGGCTTTGGCCAACGCTCTTCAACTACGCCGCCAAGTCCGTCATAAACCATCTCAGAGTACAGGCTCAGCGACCCTCCTCTCCCAAACTTCCACTTCGCTTCCCGAACGACCATCTACCTCCGCTTCCACATCGAGTTCGCTCGCAGCTGCCTTGTCGCTCGGAACCCTCAACTTCACATCGCATAATGCCAAATCTGTAAAACTGGCACTCACGCCTCATCACCTGTTTTACCTACTCTCCCGCTTCGAAGAACTCAGCATCAATGTCGGTCCTATGAAGGTCCGACTTGAAAACCTCCACGACAGTTCATCCTCTGCCAACTATGTTTCCTTCCTCAGTAATACCCAGCGATCGAGAAGCAAAGGCTCGGATATTGATTCAATACACTCTGTCTCGAGTATACGAAGTGTCATGTCGGGCATGTCTGCATTGTGGTCGAGTTTTGGCATTGGAGCCAGCATATCCGCTGCCCGGACCGAACGCCAAAAAGCCGCCCTGGAAGCTGACATGAAGTACCTCTATTCTGCTTTTACCAAGATTCCTTGCTTGAGATTGGCCCCAGATTGGCGTGCCCGCCTGATTCGTGGTTATGAAGAGTTTCCATTTGATTCGGCTGTACCCCTATACGTTTTCAAGAACCTGCAGGCTCTCGAAGTTAGCAGCATCGATTTCCGACAATTCTTTGGCTGGGATCGTCTAGCTGATCAGCTGCGTTCTCTTACTCTGAAACGTGCCGGTATTGAGGACCCCGCGGACATCTTGATTGACATCGTTTTGGATGATATGGACAAACGCCGTCGACGAGTCTCCAAATCCCAGTCCTCACCCACTTCAGTCTGGACGGGTAGTGGCAGTCCTCGTCGTAATATTGCTCACCCCGAGCTTCACCGAGCCGTGTCTGCTCCAAGCTCCCCTGGTGCACACGTCGACATGCGGGTCGGTTCGTTGACCCCAAGTGAACATGCTATCGAAGAGACCAGCCGTAGGCAGTCTTTGAGCAAGGATGACGAGCAAGATGACACCCCACAAGCTGTGCATAAGTCTTCTCGTCCCAGGAGCAACTCACCTCCACGCCCTACCAGCTCTCGAACGCAATCACATCCCGTTCGAGGTAACCATCACCGCATGAGGCGATCTGGATCTGGTAGTTCTCATTCCAGCCTTTCCGATTCTTGGACTGGCCATCACCATTCTCGAGGTAGCTCTGGTAACTTACTTGCTATGGGCGTCCTTCCCGCTTCAAAGTGGCGCTTTTTGCGACATTTGAGTCTGGCTGACAATTCCATGACTTCCATTCCGCAAAACAGTCTGGCACCCCTCTCCAACACACTTTACTCCCTGGATATTTCCTCCAACCTCTTCAGCCAGGTCCCAGACAGTCTGGCTACCCTAACCGCCCTTAGAGCTCTGAACTTGTCTCACTGTATGATCGATTCTCTCCAGTCCTTGACCCGCAACCCTCTTCCTGCCATCACAGCCCTCAACCTTCGAGCAAACAGGCTCCAGAGCCTTGCTGGCGTTGAGAAGTTGGTTCCTCTTGAGAGACTCGATTTGAGAGATAACCGTCTGGTAGACCCAATGGAACTGGCGAGATTGACAGGTATCCCCGACATCCACGAGATTTGGGTTGAGGGCAATCCCTTCACTCGTACCCACAAGGATTATCGCATCTCCATCTTTAACCTCTTCCGCAAAGCCCCAGGCTATACTGACGACGTAATTATTGATGGCAGTGGTCCAAGTTATGTTGAAAGACGATCACTGGTTGACCGCCCCCCTATCCCCGAATCCATCCCTGTCGTCAAGCCACAGGTCCCTGAGGTGCCTACTGTCGATGTCAGCAAGCCTGCCATTATTTTCAACCCTCCCAAAGAGCCAGCTGTCCTCCGAAAGGAACGGCCTACGCCTAAGGCTGTCATGAGTGAAATCAACACCAGCTCAACACGTCGGCGAAAGACTCCAAAGAGGCGAATCGTGGATTTGGCCACTTCTGATACCCCATCCTTCCCAACCCCAGTCGAGGTTCAAGTAGCGGAGCCGGCTGGCAAGCAGCCCAAGTCTCCGCTGACTAACGACGGAAACTACCGGATATCCCAGCAACCTGGAGGCCAGGTTTTGTCGCCGCCCACGTTATCGACCGACTCGCAAGTTGTCAGCTCACCTGAAGTACCACGAGTTGACACCAACATCTTGACCAACATCCCAGCTGCTTACTCATCTGACGATGATGCTTCCACTTGGAAGGAATCCCAGGATTGGGATGCCGGTGGTGAAATATACCGTCAGAAGATTGAGGCCTTGCGAAATACTGTCGGCAATAGCTACCTTTCTGTCTTGAGCGAAGAGACTTGGACTACCAGCCGCCCGACAGACTATTCCACACCTAATGTCCCATCCGGTGCAGCCATGCGCACAGCACACACTCCTATCCATGCCCCTCAGGCTCAAGCTATACATAGTGGTCGGACCTTGGGCTGAAATCGAAGATGAGATACCAGCAGAGTTAGACTTGGAAGACGACACCCATATGATACCCATATACCCTCTCTACTGTGGGAGCATGCTGGACTCCTCGGTATGATTCGATTCTCTGTTGAGCTGAGTCTGAAGACTCAAGCTCGACCACTTCGTGTTTTACTTTTTATTGGCATTTGCAACGATATCATGGAGCATAGCGAGGCGGCGTTTTGGGCAGATGACGCATCTGCATTTGTTTGAGTATAGGAACTCATCTTTACTTTTCATGGCTGCTTCTCCTTTCTGGAGCCTGCATGTTTCTCTAGGTCTTGTTCTAGAGATATCTCATCTTTCAACAGCCTCTGATAGATGGAAAGGGTTTCATCTAAAGAATGCCTGTTATTCTCATTCGAAATGAGATTGAACATGTACTGTTTTTTTGCTTTCACGTAGGAGTCTGGACATGGCGTTGGAAGGTCAAGGGTATTTGCCCATATGCATTCTTGATTTTACGGTATGGTTGGAAGAAAAAAAGACTTCACTTGGCTTGAAGCTTATGCGATCTGAGGCAACTATGCTGGAGAATTGGAGATTGTTGTAATACATGATATCCTTTATCAGTTCAAGCCCTTGGTGCTTCTGGTTGTCCTCTTGTAATACTGTTGTGGTATCCTAATAATCATGGATTGCCACTGTCCCAGAATTTGGAATCCTTATTGTGAACGTGCACAGATTGCAAAGCTAACAGAATCGTTTCAGAGGTCACTCGTCGTGGCTTATCGACCCCTGGAGGGAAATGATCCTTTTGTGCTCCGATGATGCCGCCGCGGAAGAAGCCAAGAGATGA